TTAGTATTCAAACAACATTATTTCAGCTGTATACTCTAATAGTCTGCCCTGTGGCCTTGATTTCGCGGGTTTGTTTTTTGTCAGTCACACCTCATTTTAATTATGGTTTTTTGGTCTTTTTCAGAAAAAGACGGCTGACGATTTCGTGGCCAGCAACGACGAAGAAAGTGAAGATGAAGATGGTGGTGATGTGGACGAGGAAGGAAATGAGGTGAAGAAATCAAAACTCAAGAAAGAGAAAAAAGAGAAAAAAAGGTCGGTGTGAAATTTTTTTCGAGATGTTTTTTGTTGATCATGTAAGAATGGCTTGTAACTATGGGTTATTTTGTAGGCGAAGAAAACGAGTTCAAGAAGAAGGAGACGAGAATGCGCCCAAGAAAAAGAGGTTTGTGATGGAGTGTCTGTAATAAACTTGCTTTAGTCGTGTTAACCACTCATAATACCCTGTTTGTGCCTTTGTAACCTGCTTTTTCTTTGATTTTTGTATCATGATGTAAGGGCTTTCTTGACTTCAACTCTGGTTTACAAGTACCAAAAACAGTGACTTTGTCGTGAATGATCTCTTAACTGCGCGACAAAGCTGCGCGGAAAGGCTGTGCGACAAAGCTGGATCACATGATTTCAGTTATATCCTACACTATGCGGTTATCAGATGTCCTTTATGTCTGTCTTTTAACAGAGCTCGTAAGCCCAAAGGCAAACCGAAGGAAACGAAATCTAGCGACGAAAGGTTGGGATCGAAACAAAGACAGAAAATTAAGTCCAAGGCGTTCGTGTCATCATCTGAGGATTCGTCCGATTCTGATGCGGAAAAATTGAAGATTGCTGATGTGTGAGTACTCAATATTATATAGCTAAAAAGCTCATATAGCGTTACTTAAGAAGTTCTATTTCCGCTAAGATCATCGAAGCAACAGTGAGGCGTGACATTTCAAGTAAATAGTATTTCTGACAATATAGCGAAGCGAAATAGGCAGAAATGACTACTTTGCTGGCACGGGCAAGAGGATTGGTGCCGAGCGAGAGGAATTGTGGGTATGGTTTTCAGATATGTTATCAGTTCTAGGACAGCAGTCATTTATTTCCTAATTTTTAGTTCAAAATAAGAAAAAAATTTCAAGTTTGCATGACTCTATGTCGTAACTCGACCCCCAGCGGCACCGTAGTTAATGGCGGTATACGTTCCCTTTTCCCCATAGTGGTTTTGGGTCTTCGCATCCGGCGAAGCCGCATCAATTTAGCGTGACTTAGTTTGTTTGGAGATGCACATGTTTGTATGATGTGTCACGATATCAGTGAGCATTGTTTCTGTGATCAACTGGTGTACAAGATCTACTGAACTACAAGCCCCTCTATCAATACTGTTATATGTATTTCATTGGAAGTGTTGTCAAAATGGCACATTCAAGAAATACAATCAATACATTGCATGAATGAATAACCTTAGCTCAGTCTTATGACTTCTGGAAACATTAGTGAAGGTTAAAAATGCTTGGAAAAAGGCGAGGTATGTCATAAAATAAGATAGAACCAAATGAAACCTGAATCAGCAGAATTTACCAATTCTGCTTTTTTTTTCAGGAGAAGTGATGAAGACCTAAGCGACAAATCTGATGCAGAGAAAAGCGATAAAAGTGATAAGGAAGACAATGTGGACGAGGAAGAGAAAGGGGAAAGTAGCGAAGCAGACAAACCTTCTTCTGGGAAGAAACGAATACTGTCAAGTGACGAGGATGAAGACGACCTTGATGATTTTATTGAAGACATTGACGATAAAGCTGAAGGCGAAGAAAGACCATCCACAAGTCAAGAGACACCCAAGAAGAAAAGCAGGAAACTTCTCAGCTCGTAAGTGCATTGGTTGACGAGGATACTAAATTTATTTGTCAAAGCAAGTTTTTCTCGAATACTGTTCGGGTGTTTTACCACAGAGATACAGGGAATTCTTGATAAGCTAAATGATATGTTTCGGTGGGTGGCAAATCTCTTGTGGACACCGAATGAAAAAATGTTCGCAACTAGCAACTATGTAACTTCAATTAAGAGGTTCTTGTTGAACTTTTCACACTCCCCTCCTCAACTTCAGTCAATACTGAAGTAAAGTTGTAAGGCCGCTTGAGGGAAACTTATTCAGGGTGAGGGGGGGTTAGGGATAGGGTTAAGGGGGGGGGGGTTGGGTTGCAGTGGGTGGCGAGCCTATGTTGCTTCTAAAATCCTTTCGAGAGAATGTAACCAAAAAATTGTTGTGAGGCAAGATCATTTGGTTTTATCAACTGAGTTGATATCATTATTATGATATTATTATCTTGTTATGCTCTCCCAATGACGAAGCGTCAGAGTTCTTTAGAAACTTAACCTCTTTATTCCAATGTTGTCAGAGTTTGAGAAAACGCAGTATTAACAGTGCGAATCTTTGCATTTGCACAGGTCTGAATCCGATGATGATTAGTCCAAGAATCACACCATGCAGACCATCGCAGTGTTTATAGTGGAAAATGATTTTTTATGGGAGACGTGGAAACTGAGGAAAATACATAGAACTGTACAACAGGAAGCAGTTTTTCACCTTGCTTTATCCATTTTCTGTCCTCGCTTCTCCCTAAAAGTTCGGCCCAAAGCCGAGAGCGTCCGTAAAAACGATGGGCACGATCGCAGATTTTTCCCTTGAAGGAGCTACAGCTCGGTTTATAAATCTTGTTCAAAAATTTTTTCAGGACAGAACACAACGATCTGTTCACTTATCTTTTTGTCATTGTTGACCTTTTTCAGTTTATTTTAGATGATCTCTTTTGAATATTTTGTTGTTGTTGGTTTTTTTTTTTGTAATCTCTCTGTAGCCTCCAAATTGGAGATTATTTGGCTCGCGGCTAAAAGAGCGATTTAAAATGTTAATACTTAGCTCCTTGAAGACTGTAACAATACTGAGATAATTTTGTTATGCAGAGAGCATAATATTTGCCCCTTCTTACCCACCCTAAAAGTTTTCTTAAAAATTGTCACTGCTCATACTTAATATGCAATTACATTCGAAAAGTACGTTTTTTCCTCTTTGAAAAGCATGTTCACAGCTGGTGTTTCTGAAAATATTTTAAGATAAAGCCGTTTCGTCATTGTTCATCAGAAATACGGAATTTTCGACCATTTTGGTTGATTAAAATTAGGCGATTTTTTCGTGCACTTTTGTATTACTTGTACTCTAAAACGCAAGGTTTTCAAGTAAAGCCGGTTATTAGCGGTCTACCACCGCCTTTATGATCTCTTACCAGGTAACCACCCGTCTGTTTGGTCTGCGAGCAGGCTCTTTGTTTGGGTTTCGCTCTACGGCACAGCCGCCAGTTACACCATCGGCAGCAGCTTGTGGAAAGAGTTATTAAAACCCTTACTAAACGGTTCTAAAAAGGGACATTATTTACTTTATGCAGATGGTTGTCGGGGCGTAATCGGGGTTATAACACTCCCATGACTGTCGTGTTTATCAAAATAATAATAGTATTCTCGTTAGTTCTAAGTCCTCGGATGTTTAATAACGTACTGATAGACTGTGTACATATTTCTGTAGAGGCAGCCGTTAATAAACGTGTTTATCCTCTTGCAAATATGCCTGTTCATCTTTTACCCCTACGATGACACAAAACTATTTGAACCAGAACAAGGGAAAGAAACAAGAAATCAATGCATCAGTACCTTTGGAGCTCAGACTAATGTGTTTCAAATACTGAACCGAAAGCTTCAAAAGTGTGTTCCGAGAAATCATACAATTATTACCTCATCTTCATTCGGAGCGAGAGGAAGAAATTTGCACAAAGAAGGTGAGCGACGGTCAAAAGGAAGGAGAGGGGAAGGGTTGGGGCTTTTCCCCACCTCATACCCAAGCCCTCTACTTTTAATTCTAAATCAAGCAAGGGTCGGTCGAATAGACGATCGCGAGTTTGTAACGTTAACTCAAACATATGGAGACAGGGCCTTTTCCGTTGCTGCACCTAAACTCTGGAACGAGCTGCCATTAGATCTTAGAAGTTTAGATACAATTAATTTATTAAAGAAACACTTAAAGACCGATCTTTTTAAAAAAGCATATAATATTTAACTTTTTGGTAATTTGGAATAGGATTTACTGTGATATTTTTATAAATAAGTCTGCAAATAGGTTTTTAATTTATTCATATTTTATTACCAGTGGGATCTTTTTAATTATTTTAATATTATGAATTGTAAAGCGCTTTGGTCAATTAGTGGAGTTAGCGCTATATAAATTGTTAAATTAAATTAAATTAACTCACTGCAATAAAATACCTGCACCTCAGGATGCTTCCTTCAGAGGTGACACAACTTATATGTTACCCATAAATTGTGCAGCTAAATACACTGCACAGTCATCTGCCTCCTACAGTCTCTTGAAATTGCCTTTCCCTGTAAGTGTGTCTAATGCTTATCCATACGTGTGTTACAAATTATGCACCGATCCATTTTAACCTTCAACATCCCTCCCCTCGCAACACAGAGGCATTAGACTGTTGTCGCTCCCAGGGGCTAGTAAAAATTTGAACCTTGCCTGGGTGGGGTGGTGAATTTTAACCAGACCTCTCAAGTCTCTCCAGTGGAATACACATGTTTTATCTTTTAGTATGGAGGTGTTTCAAAGAAAAGAGTTCACCTATGTAAGCAGAAAGTCACAGTCGCTGATCTCACCTTTTCCAAAAAAAATTGACCATCAAATTAGTCAGTCGAGTAGGTCATTTGAACTCAAAAGAATGAAGGTAAAAACGTAAATTGGCCGCCGTAAAGAGTGAAAGGGCTAACGCTCGAAATGTCAGCCTTTTAACTTTTCACGGTGGCCAATTTACATTTTCAACCCAGTTGTTAACACCAAATTACATTAGAACACAATTTTGGCTTGGCAGGGGGGGGGTTGAAGCTTAGAATTGATCAACTAATTACAATTAGAGTCTATTGTAGAGTCTATTGTTACGATAATGATGGAATCAAGTAAAGGAGCACAGTGAATTTAGGAATCAAATTTATTTTCAGATCATAAATAGCTTCCCTTATTAATTTACATGCGTAAAGCAATACTCTGAGCTATTTACAGTGAGCTTAGCTCATTAAAGTAGGAATACCTTGTCTATAACATTCTTTAAATAATTCAAGAGTAATTGAATAGTATAAGAATATTTTGAAATGGTTCAATTGACAAGCCAAGATGCAGGATCTTGCATTTGCTTGTCACTACCAATGTCAAATTTGTCCAGTTTTGGCCATAAATAAGGTTATAAATACCACTATTCCCTGTATTTGCAACTCTTGAAAAATAAATTATCACCCCTCCCCAATGATAAAAAAAAAAAAAACATCATAGCTTGCTGGAGACTAGTCTTAAAATATTTTCCAATTGTCTTGTCAAAAAGGCTCATAGTTTCACTTGCTTTAAACAATTATTACCAAAAAAACTACATTTCCAGTGTTAATGATTTGGTATTTTTAAACGTGACAAATTTTACAATCTGGGAATTTTAGATGAAAATGTATCATGGTGAAAAAAATACATATTTTCAGAACTACTTGTGTTTTAAAGTAATATGAATCGAAACCTCATGCTCCTTACTCAGAGGATTTATTCTTACAACACCAAGAGAAAAAATTGCATTTTCGCAATGAAACTACTCAAATTTTTTACAGCTTTTCATTCTAAGGTTGTACTCCTCCTCGAGGTTGAAAGCTGACACAGCAATGCCCATCTGACCAGCATAATATGTTGTCATGATCAAGGCTCTTGCCCCAGGAACAGGAAAACAAAACTTGTTGATGGCGATGATATTGTCTGAGAGGTAAAACAAGGCAGCACCAAAGCATGCACTCATCTTTGTCCAGCGACACAATCCATTCTCTTCGATTTGGTTTTGGACACCAGTTATGGCCTGCCACATCATACCAGTGACCACAAAGCCATATATAAGGACAGGAATAACCAGCTTTGCTTCGAGTCCAGGGTACAATATGTAGTACACCAACAAACCTGGTAAGACACAGATTGATCCTACAAGGGGGTTTCTTGGTTGGAACCCAAAGGCTCTAATATACAAAATGTGAGCAATACCAAAAGCAGCCATGCCATGAATGAAGTAAGTGTTTTTCCATACAAGAAAAACGTCACCAATGGCTGAAAAGATGAGACCCAGAAGAATTCTCCTGCTGTAGTTGTGTTCTCTCTCAAGACTTATTCCTTGCAGGCTGACAAATACACATAAACTCAGAATTGGCAGAATTTTAAGGAGAGCAGCAAATACAGTTGGTTTCTCTGTCTCTGGAAGCCATGCCACAAAATAAACACAAACAGTTTTTAGGAATGGCACAAGTTTGGGTCCAACACTTTTAACCTACAAGAAGACAAAATTCACACTGATTATTATGAGAGATAAGGCTCTTTTTATTAGACAACCAAAATTAATTTTGTACATGTAGTGCAAATTTTAGCATCATAAATTTCTTAGGGTAGGGGATTGTATCTCACTTGCTTGAACCCAACTCTGATTCATTTTAGTGTGAGCCCAAAGCTAAGGTTAAAATGACACTAAGGGCACAAAAGATATTTATGCCCAAGAGAATACACTGTAGCACTCTTATTATCAGTTTGAAAGGAATTGAGAATAAAAAGCTGGAAAAAGTGACAATGAAACGGTCTGAACTAACGCCACAGTGCCCGACAATTTTGATAACAATATTGTGATCTTTAACACCTAGTTAAGTCTAATATCAAGCGCTCAAATCTCGCTCCAAACAAAACATTCATTTTAAACCCTACTGAAAAAAAATAAAGCAGAAGCATGATGTGCCCCATAGAAATTGTTTGAATCATTTTACTTCAAGGCTCAAATGTTCCTATAAATGGATGACGCAATGACATTGCATTCTTGATAACCTTGAGTGACATTGCGGTGACATAACAGCACGTACGCCCCTGCCAAACCCCCTACTTGCCCACGCTCTATTGGTTAATTTTTCCATGCAGTGTACATGTAGTTCGAGAGGAACTTGTAAAAACTACACTTCCAAAATCAAACTTCCCTATTGCGTAAGTCCAGTACTTTGAAAAAACAAACGACACAAAAATTAATTTTCATGAAACACTCTCGAAAGTTAAAAGATTTGAAAAAGAAATGAAACGTTAATGAATTCGAAAGGTCCAGATTTCTTAAATGTATCTAAATTCATCTAGTAGGAACCATTCAGTAGTAACTACATTCTTTAATGATGATTAGATTAAATACGAAGATTTCGTAACAAGATTTAAACGAACTCGCTTTCGGATTTTATAGAGGAGTTTGGGGTTATCGCATACCAGTATGAGAACGAAAATTACTCGATTCAAATTTAATAACACTCACTTTTACATACTTCTGCAGTGGGGTATTTTTTAAGAAAGTATTGACTCAGTGTTAAGCTGATAAAAGACGTATTCCTGAACAACAGAATCCAAGCGACTGCGCTGAATTCAGTCAAAAAATGACCAGGTGAGAGCGAATAATGCTCTCGTGATATTTACCACTGATTTGTTTGCGGAAAAACTGGTCAAAGTAAGACTGCGAAAGAGATGAACACAAGCACTAATCAAGATATCAAATCGACAAAGTTAAATGAAGATTAAAATAGGTTGCTTTTTTCTCCAGAGATAAGTACAGAATGAGGCGAAATGATTCCGTCACAGAAGCAAATTTGTAAACAAAGTAGAGCCATGTGCAATATCGATCGCGATTTCGCGAACTGCTTTGTTTTTGTTCGAAACCATCCCACGAAAAAAACGTTTTTAACTTACCACTTCAGATTTATCCAGTTTGTACTGTAATACATACGAGTCTGCTCTAACAGAGCAGTTTCTTTCGTTCTTGGTCATCGCAAGTGTCTTACTTTTTGTGTGTGCTGAAAACGTCAACTACCTAAGAAGTCCTTCTGTCTGCGCGAGACTTTATATAGAACACGAACAAAAGGAACGTAATAAATTCAGACGTCATTGATCTTGCCAATGCGTATGAGTTACGTCAAACATCGCAATTACTCCGCGATTTATACATCTATTGAGTCCAGCGGAGTGACTTTTAACTACTCCATGACATGTTTTTATATGCAAATTTTTTTAATAGAGCAAAACAGGATGTACATAGAACTGGGTTTGCAAATTATTTTATCAAAAAGCCGTTCGGAAAAATTAACCCTGAAACCTGGTTACTTCTGCCACAACTTATGCACACCGAGTTGCCACCTTTCTGACAAAAGAAACCGCGAAAATGTAATTCTCCGCAGTAAAGAAAAGGTATCTTAGTGAGGTGAAGTTTCAGATACGAATTTACTTCAGTTCACCTCTTGACCTTTTGACGTTACAAATTTGACAAAAATAACCCAGATCGAAAGTTACCTTTTCTTAAAAGCGTTCATCATATATTCCGGGATTATCTCGGGCAAGATTTTCGCACAACCCCACACTACATTATGCATTCAGTTCTTAGATAAAGAAAATAGTAGCAAAAACAATAGATTGCTTTTGTAACTACGGGTTTGCTTTAGTATGTTTTGTATATTATAGCTATGGGCGATGAGAGTGGGCGGAAATCAGATATTATTTCGCTTCACGAAATGAAAGAGGCGCAGCATGGGGGAAGGGAAGGGAAGGGGAAAGGAAGAGTGAAAAGAAATAATGGAACTATTTGGTTGAACTCGTGCAACGGACTTCGCGGAAAGAGGATTGTTTTAGGCCTACCCTCCATAAAACATGATCAACCGTTTGCTACCAGGTGTGGCTAAAGTTGTAGTTTTTCTTTCTTTGTAATTTAAATGACAAATTAAATATCTTTTTACATCAAGTAATGTTTACAGGACGAAAAATTGTCTATTTGTGATGTTTTCTTTCTTATTTGGGGAGTTTCGTTTCCACTTCTCCATGCATTTGCAAGTCCTACGGTACATAATAAAAAGTCATGTCTCTGTTGTGGTTATGTGTCCACAGTCTTACCTAAAGGCAAAAAGAAAGTTGAAAAAGAGCTTCTTCTAGCCTGGATCATTGGAGGTCTTGATAAAATTACCAGTTCTACCAAAAATAACTGTAGGGAATTAACATTACTTAGCAACTGTCCATAACTGAAATGTGCTGTAAGGAAAGAGTTGACTGTATGTTTAAATTATAATGGCCCCATGTAAGAGCATAGCACTGACGAAAAGAGCTGAAACTAAAAATGTCAGTTTGAACAAAATTTTCCTCTGTAGTGTATGATGAATTATAAAAAAAATTATGGTAGGCATGAAAAATTTGCATCAAGATAGTTAATTGGAATCTATGATAATATTTACACAGTCAGTGAGCCTTCTTTGTCCTGTTCAGTTTTTTCTTGCCTCTCAGGTTTTTGTTTACTCTTGCAAATTTATATTAATTGAAATAGTTTCTTTCTATCAACCAAAAAAAAAACGAACTAGCAGGGCATGAAATTGTGCCTAATACAGGTGCCAATGCAACTAAATTTTTCACTTTGGCGACCAAATCTTAAAACTTAGTCACCAAATTGGCGACTAGAATGTTTCATCATAACCTTACGAAAGAGATAGATTGAATGAAAATGATTTGCAAAGATAAATCTGCAGCAAACTTCCTCGTTAAGTTTGTTTCCAAAGTGCAGCACATGCATCTCAATTGATAACTAGACGCCATATTGGATTTAGGTGAGCTTGAAAGTTGTATATCTCCCATCCTAGTGTCCACTTTGTAGCACGTTAAAGATCTTCTTCCTAACTTAATTTTGGAGGGTCTATCTAGAATGCTGACAGCGTGAAAAAAGGTTTAGTTTGTCTTTGAAAATGGCGACCAACTTTTTTTTGAATTGGCTACCACTTTGAAGAATTTAGGAGCCAAGTGGCTATCAGAAAAAAAAATTAATTTCACACCCTGACTAGCCTTAGAAAAAACCCCAAACTATGGAGACAAAGCTCTTTTTTTCTTTTAAAATACAGAAGAACCCTGCTAACTCAACCCCCCAGGGAAATGAAAAATAAATTGAGTTATTGGGGTTTTTGAGTTAACGGATTGTAAATGACTAAAAAAATTAGGTCAAAGGAAATTGGATCTTGCTTGAGTTACAGGGGAGTTGAGTAAACCAAGTTTTAGTAAGCTGGGTTCAACTGTACCTTGACTTTCTTTCATGACTGCATAAACTTCCTTCAAAGGAACCTAGGCTAAAAACCTACTCCTTGGTTTTATGTAATTTAACCTGGCTAGCGGTAAAACAAGACAGAGCAACGCCTAACTGTGCATTGTAGTATGTCACCATAACATAGCTCGAGCATAAGGGATTGGAAAATACCACTTGTTATATACCTAGACTTTCACTCAACAAAACGAGCACTGTGATTGGTTGATTCTTGGTCACATGCCCCTAATCAGATTCAAATGTATCCCAACTGGGATACAATTGTGCAGTTGTTGCCCACTCGCCAAATACAACTGCACACGACTGTTTAAGGGAAAGTCTAAATATATAACAAAGAACTTAAAGTATGGTCCCTTGGGAAACTAATTACTTTTGTTTTCCCAAGAGTCCTGATTTTTCCCAAGATAAAGTCAAGGAAACATTGAACAGGACTCTTGGGAAGACAAAACTAACTGTTTCCCTAGGGATCATACACTAAGTGTATATTTTTTAGTTAAGCTAAAAACCTACTTTAAACCTAAGCTTAAAACCTATTCCTTGGTTTTATGCAATTTAACCTGACTAGTGGTGAAACAAGACAGAGCAAAGCCTAACTGGGCACTATAGTATGTCACCATAACAATAACTCGAGCATAAGGGATTGGAAAATACCACTTGTTTACACCAAGAATAAAATCTGAAAAACCAAATGAAATAGCTCCAACACATGCACAAAGTTTGGTCCACTGCCAAGCTTGGCTACATAAAGAAACCTGAAGACCAGTGATTGCTCTCCAGATCATAACAGATATCATCAGCATGTATCCAGCAACTGTTCCCATGAGGGAGCCATTGAGGTTTGGAAAGTACAAGGAATAAGTGTTTAGAGTTAGGATCAAAAGACCCACTAGAACTAATGGATTAACTGGTGTGAAACTGAATGCTGAAGCATAGCACAGATGGGCGATACCAAAAGAGATGACACCAAAATGGAAATGGCTATGTTCCCAAACTATAAATATATCGCCAAACATGGAGAAGATAAGGCCAAGAAGTATGCGGCTGTTATAGTCATGGGGGTTCACTCCTTGCATGATGACAAAGCCACACAGGCTTATGATGGGTAAGATCTTTATTGCAGCTGCCAGTATTGAAGGATTCTTGGCTTCTGGCAGCCATAGTATGAAGTAGATGCAAAATGTCTTGAAAAATGGGAGGAGTTTGGGGACTGCCTGTTTGAACTGTCAAAAAAAAAAACACAAAATAGATCAAACTCTGCATTCTCAACAAAGTTCATAAGTAAACTTGATTGATGTTCATAATAGGGTCTTTCCTTATTATTCTTTTTTTCACTTTCTTGTATTTTCATAATTCTTGGCATACTGATTGCAGTGAACATGGTTATTTATATGATAAGCTGAATCCTACATGCATTTTGATTGGTTGTTATTTATGACCAGTAGAGGACAATTACATGGATGACCTCACCATTAAAAAACTTTTGTGTTATCATATAAAACAAGTAGATTCCATGCTGCCATGGGTCTGGACAGTAATACATTGCAGAAGGAATCAAAATGTGGTAAGAACATCAGTGACAAACTGGGCTCATAACACACCAGTTTGCATCTTTAACTAGGAGACTCATTATGAGTAACTGTCAGGGACATACTGATAGTCTGATGGGATATGAGTATCCTTGTGAAACGCATTGATGGAAATTAATTGTTATTACACAGTTTTAAATTATGCATTCTCAAAGGATATACTTGAAGGATACTGTTTTAGATCTTTTTTCACTGAGAATAACATGGACTGAAAGACTTTCAAGGTATGACTGTCAAATTTTTGATTAATTCTATCTTTCCTTTACATTTGTAGCCACCTGTGTTATTGAAATACAAGAAAATTGAAAAGAGAAAAGCCTGGACAGTAATACATTGCAGAAGGCATCAAAATGTGGTAAGAACATCAGTGACAAACTGGGCTCAACCACTTTTTTGTTCTTACCACTTTTTGACATTATCTGTGATCCATTAACCATTTAACCCCTAAGAGCGATTGACAACTGATTTCTCCAGGGTGTATCACCCTTGAATCAAAAATCAAAGTCACAAGAATAAAGGAATTGATCACTTAATAAAGAAGATCTTGATTGTTGAACAAATTCACCTTGACAGCAACTTAGGAAATGTAGTGGGCTTTTTTACTTTAATTTTTCATGCTGCTGTTGTTTTAGGTTAGACTTATACTTAATTTCATAAATATTTGTTTAAGCTATATCAAAAGTAAATATCCAAAGAAATGTAGCATTTTTGAGACCTGTATGTTCACTTGTGATTGTCTTTTAATTGAAAAGAACTTTGTAAACACGCCAACTGTAAATTAAATTAATGTTAATAGTATTGTAATGCATGTATCGTAATGTAGTGTATGCATAATTTGTGTAAGTATAAGTATCAGTAGTAACAATGTAAGTGTAATTAATACTGTAAGTAGTGTAAGTGATCGTCTTGTAAATAAAATTGTTTAAAAAAAAACAAAAAACAAAAAAACTTAGGAAATGTATGGTGAACATTATGGAGAATATGCTAACTGATATTTGGGTGTAAGGAGTTAAAGAACAGACACACGGCTACGAGGAATCTATTTGATAAATTGATCCATCAAACAAATCTTAATAAGTGAGGTCATCACTGAATCAGAAAATGTCTGTAAAACCCCCCAAAAAATGCAACCAAACTGGCCCAAGACAACTTCCGGTCACAAACTGAACATCTGCATGTAAAACTCTCAAAAGCAGAGGCAGATCTTGCTTTTTCAAATCTGTTTTTATCACTTACCACATCGACAGGTTTAAGTTCACAGTCTAAGGAACATGATCTCACAAAACTGTTTGTAGAGAAGTCCATTTCCTTCATGACTCAAACGAGGAAGTAAGATACGTGACGGAAAATGACCGCTCACAAGCTATCAATTAGCTTGATGGAGGTCTGTTAGACACGACGGCACCCTCGCACGAAAATTGTAATCAAAATATTGACAAATAATCTCGAAGTACCTAATAGATACCTCTCGTCTTGTTGTGCACGTTAGTCAAGACCTGGCTGCTCAGCAATTAGTTGAGCCTGCATGTTTTGGTCAGTTCACCCATTCTAATCTAAGATGGCGGATGAAAGCGAAGACTTCGAGAAACAAATTTCAGACGCTCAGCCAAAAATGGAAGACGAAGGTCAGTCTTCGAAAGATGATTTTTTATCAATTTCCACTTATTTTTATCGCGTGTGCAAAGCATAAAGGATTCAAAGTTTTTACTCAGTATGATGATGAGGATAAACATGCCGTGTCCCCACGTGTGCGCGCGTATTATTTGCATGTTCGGTTTGGTAAATAACAGCGAAAGTGAACTAAGATTTTGAGTCTGTTCTACATGGGTAGTCCTCATGTTCCATTTCAAATCCCCAACATTCAATCACAACTTGAAAACCTGAATGTACGGAGTAACAGCCCAGCTTCAAAAGATTATGCTGAGGAAATTAATTTTTATCACCTACACGGTTGTTGGAGCCCAACAAAGAACAATTTATCGAAAAAGGTTAACGGGAAAAACTACCTCTATAACGAAATTTTTAAGGCATTGAAAGCCCTCATTTCAATTATCGTAGGATATTCTGCTCCGCTAAAACTTTGAATTAAATAAATGTGCGGAAAACATGACATTTGATTGATTAAATGAAATTGAAAAAATATTTCCAAATTTAGGTGGAGGTAGTGAGGAAGAAGTAAATCAAGGATGGGCAGATGCTATGGCAAGAATTCTTGAAAATCAGTTACCGGAGGACAAGGTATCTGACAAAAGAAAAACTTCAGTCACCATTCCTGCTGACATTGTGTGAATTATACAACAACTCACTAAGCTTCAAACTATAAGCCCAAGAAACAATGTCACTGTCATTTATAATCAAAGCGGCTTACTGTTTATGCTCTAAATTTGAATCATCTCAAATGACAAATATTTTTTTTAAAGCATAACACACCAGTTTGCATCTTTAACTAGGAGACTCATTATGAGTAACTGTCAGGGACATACTGATAGTCTGATGGGATATGAATATCCTTGTGAAACGCATTGATGGAAATTAATTGTTATTACACAGTTTTAAATTATGCATTCTCAAAGGATATACTTGAAGGATACTGTTTTAGATCTTTTTTCACTGAGAATAACATGGACTGAAAGACTTTCAAGGTATGACTGTCAAATTTTTGATTAATTCTATCTTTCCTTTACATTTGTAGCCACCTGTGTTATTGAAATACAAGAAAATTGAAAAGAGAAAAGCAGAGAGAAATGAACAATTAGCCTCCAAGAAGGTAAAGAGTAGTTTTTTGAAAGGTCACAAATTTTCCAAGTATAGAAGAGCTTTAAAAATGTCATCTTCTACTGCGTCTTACATCCATCAGGGCTAAATTCTCTTTGACTCACTATTTCACTGATGTTGCTGTTGTTTTCGTCTAATAAGCTGAAAAGTCAAGAACGGCATGCTATGCTTGAGAAAGACCATATTAAACCTGATGCCTCAACACTGGATTATGAAAAGAACTTAATGAGAATTGCAACAAGAGGAGGTAACTGTTATTGTTGCCTGATTTTATTGGTATTTATTCTAGTTTCATAATTTTATTTGTAGTTATCTCTCTCTGCTTTATGCAGCTTGTTTTTGTTTTTGCATGTTTAAATTCCTTCCAACTGTTTGTCTGCTCATCTGTCCATTTTTAAATTGTTCATTTGTCATACTCTACTTTAGTTTTAAGATAGTAGAACAATAGTTTGCCTTTAAAAAAATACAAATGCTACTTAGGTAAAAGAAAATGAGATACAAATGGAATACAATACAGGCCCTTGATGCTCTAAAGCTGTGTAATGCCATCCAAGCTTGTGGCCCATTTTGTCTATTGTTACAGTCAAAGCTAGAAAATCTGAAGTGTGTCTGGAGTGCAGATTGTGCAAAGGCCTCTCATGATGAAGATTAGTACATGTGTAAGAATGAAAAAACCAGAAACAAAATAGCATCACCCCCTCTGAGTGGTTTGTTTGTCTTGCACAGTTACATTTTAGAAATATTTCAGGTACTGAGTTCACACTTATGAGTTTTGTAACATTTGGGATTATGTAAAGTGGTCTGAATTTTCCTCTTTCTTTTCAACAACCTGTCAAAAACCAAACAACAGTAATAATATGTTATACAAGTTTTCCAGCAGAGTGCAATTTGCGGGAAAAAAACACAGCAAACTTAGTTTAAAATAGTTTTGAAGTCAGATTCATTTTAAAACTGGTTTTTGAGGACTCATAAGAATCTCTCCTGAACTTTTGATCTCCATCTCATTTTAGTGGTCAAACTGTTCAATGCTGTCAGTAAACATCAGAAGGAGATGAACAGTAAACTAAACTCTGCTCCTACTGAAGCCAAGAAAACAAAAGGTGAGAGCCTCAGCAAACAAGAATAATTGTCATGTAGAGTGCAGATGATTTTATTGTCAAGAGGGTAAAGCTTGTTTGGTATGCCTCCTTTCTTCAAGAGTACTGCATCATAAAAACTTATGCTAAGTTTTTTTCTATTTTCAAATTTGTTTTTGCATAATATATTAGTGGAATTGATGATTTTATTCTTAGGAGGGTACAGCTTGTTTGCTATGCCTCCTTTCTTCAAAAGTGCTGTTTCATAATAACTTATGCTAAGGTTTTTTTTTTTTTTGGCCCAATTTTTTTCTATATACTAGTGGAAACGATGTCCAAATCTACCTTTCTTGACATGCTGAAGAGCAGCTCTGACAAGGGACGGACTCAAGAGAATAAAGAACAGAAAGGAACGGTAACTACTGTCTGATTTCCTTGACCTTTTACACCTTAACATCAGTGGGCATATTCTCCACACTGCTTCCCATACATTTCCTCAGGCGCTGACAAGGAGAATTCGTTTAATAATCAAGAGCTTTTTTTATTTGGTGATCATCTCCTTTATTCTTGTTACCTTGATGTTTCGTTCAGGGCTGATATTTTTAGGAGAAATTAGATGCTTGTCACTCTTTAGAGGTTAAAGGGTTAAATGTTAGGTCAAATCTGCTTTGAAGTGAAGCGTAAGCAGCGAAAAAGGTTTGAAAACACATACACATGGAACTTCAAAGTCCACTTTTTTTTGTCTCTTCCAATTCCGGACAATGTGTATTTGAAAATATACCGATCCTCTTTTACTTTGGTGTTTCAGGGAATCGAGCTCACTGATACCGACGATGCGTCATCATGGAGCATTCTACGCGATGACTTTATGATGGGCGCTAAGATGAAAGACTGGAACCGAGAAGAACAAAAAACCAAGAGGAAAGATAAAAAACTAACAGACATTACTGATCATGAGCTGGAAACAAGTAACGCTGACTTCTTTGATGAATCAGATGATGGGAACAACGAGCAGTCGGATTCAGAGTCAGATATGGATTCGCAAGGGGGCTAGAGCGTGACAAAGCGTGACGAAAAGTTCCTCAATATCGCGCTTTTTTGACAATTTCGTTACTTCGAATCACACTGTCCTGTGACGCAAGGTGATGCTTTGCGGAGAATGCTGTCAATAATACCAGTTTGCAGTTTTAAAAAAAAATTCAATCGACATTGTAGCGGGAGATGGAAATCTTCTAAAATGGACGCAAAAGTCTGGTCCTAAAGGCACCCAGAAGAGGGTTGACTCTGTAAAGGAACTCTGCCAAGAGCGCAGTTTCAAATGTATCTGCTCCGCGCAGACAAACTAAAATCGAATTAATCCCTTGTAACCTTTGCGGTGCTCTTATTGGTTTTCTCTTGGGTGTTTTAATGTAGAGGCAACGCGTGAAAGCTAAACGGTCAAATTTTTTTGGCTAATGTAAGGCCTCGTGTATCCCTATCAAACGGTTCCACCCTAAATATAAATGTTCTTACATGCGTATTGCCTCTTTTGCTGTTGTTTATTTCGATTGTTTATGATCACCAGACAAAGCGAATGCTTGATCTATTTCCAACTGCTTTCCTTTCTTTTATGGTATTGTGAAAGCAGTCGGTATATTTGGGGGGGGGGGGAGGGGAAGAATAAATGGCAATCATACGATTCTTCGATTTTTGGCATCCGACCGCGACTCATAATTTAAGAGGGGGCTAATCTGTCTCCGGTTTACACAACGCCTGAACGAATGATTTAGCAGCTTGGAATTCCCTTTCAAGCTCAAAAACGGGATGTAAACCAAGGATGCAGCTTTCACAACAAGTGATCAATTATGCCTACTAATTATGCGTGCCGATGTCCGATCTTTCTGATGTTCAGACAACTTATAAACTGAAGTTGTGTCATCTCTGATTCTTTACGTTGTCGTGATGGGAGCTTATTGTTTTGCGTCGGTATTGCGTTTTGTTGTCTCGGACATTTTTGCTACGTTGTCATAGAAAAAATATATATATATAATAGGTATTCATTAGCATATAAAACTACCCTCTGGCCTTCTGCCCGGCAGCCGAACAATTTTAAAAGAATTTCCACTGCAAAGTTATTTCAAACTTGTTGAAAGTATCAGTTGTCGCTTAGAAATTTCAAACAAAATGGAAAATTATATGCGAAAGCCATATGGCAATGAGTTATGTTAAATGATTCTTAGTTGGCTTTTTCCTTTTACTTTTTTTGTCTTTTCATGACAACCTCACTGCAATTAGATTTCTGTATAACAAGGAGCAAAATTATAATTCCAAAAATAGGAAAAATCGGAAGTAACCAAGTCGGGATACTAAGTAATAGAGGACTTTTTCTTTTTAACATGGCCTCATCTAAAGACGAGGAAAGTTCAAGTGGAACAATTTGGTAAATTCGAGACATTAATCAGTAAACCCGAAACGCAGTTGAGATTTCGCATAACTTTTGCGAATTCTCCCAATCTCCCGAGTGTTTAGATCATGAGGGGACGCAAATCGTCTGTACTGTAAGTATCCCGGAGAGTCCCCTACATGTTCTTAGACTTTTAGTCTAAGAAAATGTATGGGACTTTTTGAACGCTCCAGGCAGCTTTCCTGTAAGGTGTCATAATCCTGTTGCTGCTGACATCCATGTGACAGATAATTGCTTTTGCACTGTTTTCTTTGCCGGCTTATACTTGTCATCAAGTTTCAATAAGACGGCTATCATTTTTCACAAGAATAATGAAGTTTTCGTAAATTGTGATATGTACTTACAGTGCAGACGATTTGCGTCCACTCATGAGGCTATAAAAACAGGGATCTCCTAAGTCCTTTACGATTGCTTTTGTAAAATATTATCTCAAAAACACGCGCCTTTCAAAAATGTCACAACTGTGTTTGCTTACTCTCAGCTAGAGATACCTATTTACCAATGAGAGCGCTCGTAATCTTGCATCTGATTAGTTGAGACAGAGGCGCGAATTTTCTGAACCTATCACAGAGCAGAGTAAAGTGCAACCAATGCAGCCCAGCATAACGTTCGATAGCACAGAAATCTAAGTTTGAAAAAAACAACAGCAAAAAAAACAAATACAGCGGCAAATCGAAAATTATTAAATCGCCTTAGGCAAATATTTTGTTTTTACGGAAAATGTAGACACCTCTCTTCGAACTCACCATCTGGTTAACTGTTGTTGTTATTCGTCTCGTTATGTTTTTAATAAAAAGGGCTCAAAATTCAACTTTAATTAACTGCAAGGTGTAATAAAAAGACACGTGTAATATCATAATTGTTACGTCCTTTTTTTACATGTAATGTTTATGTAAGCCAAAGCTAATTTTCTTTCAAGAATCCCAGCATCGTGTTATAGCAGAAAATGTTAAAAGGAATATATATGTATAGCCCTGCATTATTCCGCGCATATTTGATTCACTCCACAACTGACTTCTATTTAACTGTCAGGTGATTAATTTCTCGCACTGTAAACAAAAGAATTCCATTTTCTCCGTCATGATGATCTGTTAAATTCAGCATCACTGAAATAGATTTTTGCCAAATATTTAAAACCCAGTCTTAAAAAGATTCATTGCAACAACATTGTTTGGAGGGCGTGCAAAAGGTTCGTGAGCAAAATTTTCGCGGACAAAACTGTCGCTTAACAGAAATCAGAAGTGTCGCTGTTGTGTTCAAGTCATCTCCGACAAGGATTGTTAATTAGCTCCTTAAGCAAACTATTTGTCATTAGAGTGTCTGCTAAAAACATTAGCGGCATAAAAGGGAGATGGACTCGTCAAAATATTTGCACACAGCAATTGTAAATTTTCCTTATACTAACAATGTCATTTGCGTTTAATAAGTCGCTAAACTGCGAACGCGATGAATTGTTCAGAGAAGATCATCAACTGGGGTTTTAGCCGATACGTAAACGCCCCAAAAAAGATTTTCGCCGGATGACGGCGAAATCGAAACCTCGAGGTATCAAATGATATATTACGCGGGCGACTGACACGAATTTGGGAGCGTGGAAACACTAAATGAAATAATGAACTTGTCATTCGAAGAACAAAGGAGGGCGACCCAGTTCTAGTTGGATTTCGATTAACGCAACATAATAATTGACAGTCGAGCTAATGGGCAGGAAATGAGAATATATAGTGATCTCTGATCATGTTATATCGTATTAGACACTTTCCCGGCCTCAGAACAGCTTAGCAAAGTGAATGCGTGCAAGGCCGTGTTGGATTTGACGCAGATATCTAATTAAGCCCAGTCTACGCGAGCGAGCGGAGAATTTCTGAGAAGAGTTATGGGTAAGCGATTTATTGGAGCACTTCGTTCTGTTTGAAAATATTTGGTCGATTTGGCGACCTCTGTATGTTTGCCGCCATACGCTATCAGATCTTGGTAAAAGAGCGCTGGTAAACACAGCGCCAATAACGGAAAGTCTTGGAAGATTTATATCTAACAATGGCTACTGTATTACCCACTATCGGCTCCAGAGAGACGGCTGTGAGGCTTCAAACTGGTGTGTCCTGTCTCGATTTTATTCAAAACATTTACGCTTAGCTTTAGCGTTGAGGAACCTCGCGCTGGCTGAAAATAGCATAATTGTAGTTGCAGCGGCAGCGTTTAAGTTACTTTCTCGCTAAGGATAGTACTTCAATTAATGAATCGTCCCGATTGTTTAAGAAGATTGAAGGTTCAAAATTTCTTCAATTTTATACCATATTCAGTTAGCGATTAGTAATACGCGAAAGCGCAGTTTTCTTTGGCAAAATTTTCGCCAAAGTATTCTCGGTAATAATTACGTGATATTTTTTTATTTTCCGTTCTCTCAGCCAAGAACATTCTTATTTAGCGATAAAATGTCGAGTTGTTTCCCTGATTACTATTATCATTTTTCTCTAGCCACAGAAAAATTTGATTTTCACAAAGAGCCCCCAAACAAGCGATTATGCGGAGGTTGTGGATGCCCTATTAATGATCGGTTCCTCCTCAAAGCTCTCGATCGCTACTGGCATGAAGATTGCTTGAAATGTGGTTGTTGCGAGTGTCGGCTTGGCGAAGTGGGATCCACATTGTACACGAAAGCAAATTTAATCCTATGTAGAAGGGATTATTTGAGGTGAGTATTTACATCAAATGCTCTTTTAAAATTTACTGTTTATTTTAGCGATTTGGAATTCTATGGTCTTGTTTGCAGACTTCTTCCATCAAACTAAAATTTCGTCTCCAATTTGTTTGGTTAAAATGATGACAGTTGACACGAAAGTTCCAGTAGAGAATATTGCCTTCAAATGGGCGCATCTATTTGGGAATTCATCACAAGAAATAGTTTTTCCTCAGAAGTATTTAATGGGATTGAGCAGATTACTTTGTTTTTCTAAGATTAAAAACACTCCGTTTTCTCTTTAGCTCGACACATTAAAGAGCAACTTTTTCACATTATTAAATATACTTCACTTGTGCTTGTCAAGAAATATGATCACACATTTCAATACTTCCGTCGATTGCTGTCAGTCCTCTTCAAAATATTGCCTAGCCTTTTAGCGGTGAACTCTAATGTACATCAATTAGTAAATATTCCATTAAGAGTGCTTTTAGTAACGGCGGAAAAACACAGCGATCAGTCTAAAGTGCCTTGTTTGCAGTCATGTTTTAATGAGTTGAAAACGTTTTTTCCGGCAGTCAGTCAGTGGGTTGACCTCTCGTCTCTCCGGATATGATTTTTCATCCACTTGGCTCGGATAAAAAGATTACTAACTGTTTATACTGTCTCTTTTAGGTTGTTCGGAACAAAAGGGTTTTGTACAGTGTGCTGTAAAACTATCCCTGCCTTCGAGATGGTGATGCGTGCGCGAGAAAACGTGTATCATTTGGAGTGTTTTTCTTGCCAAAGATGCCATCAGAGGTTTTGTGTCGGGGACAAATTCTACTTAATTAACAACAGAATTCTGTGCGTTGATGACTACGAAGAGATGATGGCCTATGGGAAACAAGATACCAAAAGATTTATTGTCTAGTCCTGGGAAAAAGTGATCTTATCCATCATTCTTGTGGAAAACGCCTTCGTGATAGCACCTCGCTACACCTCATTTTTCGAATTGTGCGCGCACTGTTCTTCATTTCACCACTTTTCGGGGTTAATGTGATTTTTTTTATTGACCCTTCGTTTGGCTGCTGAAAATTATAAAATCAGTCCTGGAGCCTCTTTCTGTTCGTTTCCATTCAGATTTTAATAGCTCTTGTCGTTTAATGGTTCTCCAGTGGTTTGTTTTATAATAATTCATTTTCATTTTATTTTTATTTTTTTAACTATGGCTTCTCAGCAGTTTACTGGTCTGTCGTGCGGTCCACATGATCAATTCCACGCTCTGCTTTTAATCAACGATCATTCTGGGCGCATCAACAAAATAAAATTCGTGCTTTATAGATATTTTAATTAACCCCCGGATAGTGACTTTTGATATCAAATTTGACAAGCATATGGGAAGGCTACTTTCCTTCATTCCTGGAGTCTTGTCGGAAGCTAGAAAAGATAATCTTTAGCGGATAGAGTATTTTGAAGGGGAGGCCTCTGGTCCTTGAATTTTAACAACAACTAAGAACGCAACACTCGCAATGGACAATCTGGAAACTATAACTCGGAGCAAGGGTACATCTCACAGATGTCTGTAACTATAGACGGAAAAAAGTCAGATTTGCCTGTGAAATACAACAACGACACTAACAAGACAACAGCACAAGATTTTAGGGAATTAATAAAACATTCCAAGAATTTTATGAATAAGCTTAATTTGTGCGAACATAAACCTCTTCCGTTGCTTATTCTCATACCAAACCTTTTAGGACCTTTTCAAACTTTGCGACTGAATGCCAGCATAATGAGTGGTTGATGTCTGGAATATTGTGCGTGACTCAATAATAGTGCAAATGGTTTGAATTAGCTTAATGGATTGCATTGAAGATTTTCTATAATCACGGCTGGCTTGCACCAAGTGAGAAAGATGATTGCGTAAATGGAGTGCCACTAAGACGGATATTGGCGGAAGAGCACTCACTTAACACGACGTGAATTTGTTTGTGGAATGCGATTATCTAAAACAACTCTCACTTTGCACGAGATTCAACATGAAAGCTCGTGTACAATGAAACATACGTTACAAATATTTCACAACAATTTAAGCTCAACGGCAAACATCATGGAACGATAGTCCTACAGAAAATAAAGCTGAGATAACTATTAACGATCGATCAATCTAATTTGACAAGCTAATTGAAGTATAAAGTGCTTGTCTGCTGCCAAAAAGAAAATTTCTTAGATCTTTTTGAAACAAAAGTAGAGTATCTTTTTACCAGAGGGATGTCCGGAATTTTTTGCGGCGCGAGAATGTTTCAAAAACAAATTACTAAGCGGTTTACTCTCTCGCAGGATCGAAGAACTCGCACGGAGGGCATTTTCGTCTTTCAATGTGAGATCACAGAACACTATCGTGTTGCAGATTTCCTGCCTCCTTTTCTTTTTGGTTCGTAGTTCTTTTGTTTGCGCTTTATCGGCGGAAAATTTGAGCAGTGCTCAATTCATTATGCAATCAGACCTCGACAAACGAAGGACAACATCCCGGCGTGAGTGGGCGGGAGGCTACCATCTCACTTGTTAATTTTCGACTAGCTAATTTCAGGTTCATTAAAAGTCCCAAACATTATTACTGGTAGCAGAGTGATTGCTTTAGAAAATTTTATCATTTCATGGATAATAACATTAAAAACAATTTCTTGTGATTAGGAAACAAAACTCACGCACAGGACTTCTCTGTTCCAATTTCTTCAACATACGCGCAGCAGATTTCCTCGATTTCCCAGACTTCGCGTCTCGACCTCAACAATCGTTTGTTTTTCATTAAGCTTTAAAAGAAAATAATTACACATACTGTTTTCTTATGAAACCGCCGCGATGGCTATAATCGTTTGTTCATTGCGACATCATCAGTTGTGTACTTGGTTTACAAATGTTTTTTGTAATAATAAAGTTAAGTATAAACGACGTGCGGTTACTATTTGACCGTCATAAGGTATTGTTGAGTAGCAGAGCCGGGATCGAATAATCAATCATTTGGTGAAAGTAAGTGTTTTACTCAATAGATTAGTGATGGAAACAAACCCTATGCTATTTCTTTGCACGGAGGAAAAATGTGATCAAACTGTACTGTCCCTATAGTATAGTAATAAACTCTACCTTCCTTAAAAGGGACTTAATGTGAATCATCGTGACGGGGTTGGGTCACAAACGGCAAAGTTATCGAAAGGGGTTGATACAGTGCGTCTTCACTGAGGGTGAACAGGCTGTGATTGATAAGCAACACGGGAACAGTAAGAGAAGAAGTCGACCGTATAAACAGAAGAATAAAAAGTCGATCCCTCTACAGTCCGTATGGTGATTCACTCAAGGATTGCAGTGGAGTAGACAATGTCATCTCGAGCATGTCGAGAGCTGCTAAGGAACTGTAAGTTCCAAAAGGCAGTTGACAGCGAGTTCCCAGAGTTAAGCGCTTTCGATTAAGCCTGTAAATAACAAATTGTAACAGTCTTTTATAACGTTTGAAAGAATTTTTCGCAGAGGCAGGTCACATCTTAAATTTCCAAACTCATTGGTGAAGTCGCCTACGCATACGCTGGCAAGAGGATCTTTGGTTTGTGGTATTTGAGATCAAATACCACCATGACTGCGCCCCCCCCCCCCCTCCCACCCTTCCGCTTTTTATTCTTATCAATAAAGGGCAAAATTACTGAGCGCTGATTGGTTGAGAGAGAGGGCATTTTTTTCTTAATCGAGGGCATTTTTAGTAATCAAGAGAGGGCATGATTACCTGTTAATGATTGGCTAATCCGTTGCATCGCAACCGTTCGTTATCTTGAAATTTGTTATCAAGTTTTTGTTGCAACAATGGCTTGTCGTTTTATTGAAGCGGACGACGAATTAATTGAACTTTTGAAATGCGAAAGTGAAAACAAAAACACAAAGTTTTGGAGAATAAAATTTCATTGAATCGATTGGTCAGTTCAATTTGATTGATGATTTGCCGTAGCGCTAAACAGGCTTCCCAGATAAAAATAGACCGCGCGCGTGATTTTCCTTCGTATAAATTTTGCCCTTTATTGATAAACAAGTAATCCCATGAGACCTCGTACTATTAAGGATTAATTGCACTTGAGTTTTCAAAATTTTCCAGATTGCCCTCGTCGCTTCGCGGGCAATTTTGGAAAAATGTTGAAAACTCTCGTGCAATTAATCCTTAATAGTACTTGGCCTCATGTGATTACATATACAAAACAGCAAGATTCCACCCAGTGACCACTAAATACAACTCCTTGTCTTGTACCCAGACCTTTCACGGCCAGGTGGTAGTAACGATCTAAAGATCCTACATTTCAGTTACACGGTAGGATCTGAGTACGAGATTAAACAACTCCTTTACAAGTAACTCCTCACAGCTTACCGTTGTAAATTCCTCTTCATCCATATGGTTGTTCTTCAACAACACAAAAACTGGCCGTTGAGTCAGATCCTCCTCTGGGTCTAACATTGGTAATTCTTCTCCACAGGAGCCCATGGGCTCCTGTTCTCCACCTGTGACTCGTGAGTAAGTATCTGCAAGTGTCTGGTGCAGCCAGCCGTGACCCGCGAAGAAATACTCGTGCCGAACTGAGTTAATGATGAGGGCGTGCTCGCACAGCTATGTTTAATGGTGCTTTATGAGCGGGTTTTCTCTTGATATAATCTAATTAAAGGTGTCGACGAAAAAGTGATGATGGTGATGATAGTGATTATAATGACAATGATGATCAAGTACTCGAGCAACTGCCAGTTACATAGACATGAAGTGAGTGAGAGGATTTCTCTTCGTCCAAGTTCAATTCATTATAATCCAAGGTTCTTTCTTCAACTTTCTATATATTTTCTTTGCTAATACTTCGATAATTTTATGTCCAAAAGTTCAACTACCCTTGTTCAGGGTCAGTGCAAGCGTTTTTCCTATGCGATTCGCAAAGTTGACTTTGGGTGGAGAGCTGCGCGTTCGACTGAGCCTAGGCCAGGTCAGTTCTTTGGCAAGACACTTCACCTTTACACTGCCTCTCTCTACCCTAGAGAATATGAACACCAGCAGGACAGGATCCTCTCCTAGGAAATCTGAGAGAACGGATGCCTGGGGAAGACTGAGAACCTTGTCCTACTCCAGTGGTGCAGGGCGTCGTCAGGAGGGTCCTAAGGTGTTTGCAGACCCCTCCCCCTTCAATTAACATACAAATCTTGCAATTAAGGTTTGCGGCAAAGCGCAAAACGAAGAATCTTCATAGTTGTTATCGCGAAACTTATAGTCATAACGTTTCCTTTGTGTATTGCGTTACGTGTTAATTACTTGTGAGTGTTTGTACGTTTTGTCAGGTGTAGTGTGAACTTGTGGTTGATGTTTGTACAGTGGCGTCATGTTACGAAGTCAGGTCGAGTAATTTGTCAAGTTTTGTGTATAAATTTTGTCCTGTGGATCTATGTTTATGTCCATTTTTTAACCAGCAGCGTCACTGTCTTTTGCCTGTAAAGTTATCGACCGTTGAGTACCGTAGGCGTGTGGATGTTTTAAATGAATGATGAATAAAATTACGCGTGACTTCGGCTACAATAGCAAAAACCATTATTTGTGCTTGATACTGCACTTGCCGTCCTTCTTGCCTCCTGAATACACAAGGCACACGAGATGGAGAAGTGGTCAAATCTTCACGTAAGAGGCGCACAAATACGTAACTGCGGCCCATTTTTAATCAACTTACTTATAAGAACGGCCCCCCTGAGGAGTAGCCAGACTCTTGATCGCTCTAAGCTACAGAGATCGAGAAACACCCAAGCACGAAGAACCCTTGGCCTCGTGCAGGAGGGTGGATTGTCATAAGAGGAAACAAAGCACTATCCAAAACAATAACAACGAATTAAAACGATTCACAAAAATACAACAATCTCAGACTCCAAAATAATTTGATTTGTTATCTTTTGTAGTTACTAAGTGTGTCGTGATTGGCTAATGCAGCAAATATGTAAATTGCAAATACTCAACAAAAATAAAAGGTAAAATGGTCTTGAGTTAACCTTTGACCCCTGGCAGTGACTAGCATCTACACTGAAATTCCTCCTGACCCCATCACCCCTGAATCAAACATTAAGGTCACTACAATAAAAGAAGCGTTCACCAACTAGAGAAGCTCTTTCTTGTTAAACAGCTTCTCCTTGTCAGCACTTTGGAAAATGTATAGAGAAGACTATGGAGAATATGCATACTGATGTTAGGATGTAGAGGGTGAAATCAGTGGTAAGTTCTTCATTAACCCCACTAATTATATATGCGGCAGAGCTCAGATAGAACTCAGACAAAAGATAAGTTTTCGTCAATCAATGAATAAATGACTCAAGTCGATCATAACTCAAAGCATTGCGGGTGGGTACGTCTTGTACTCTCCTATTTGCGATGGCGAACTTATCTGTGTATGTTATCTGTGTATGTTAACCCGTTTAACAATTGGACTCTTATGACTGATCATCAACATGCCACGGAATTCCCTAATGTCAATTACATAGGAATTTAGTGAAATGAGGAACAGAGGGAAATTGCCTTTAAAAAAGCGAAAAATTGTCGAGGCTAACCAGAGGAACGATGTGAAGTTGTCAATTAGAAGAATATACAATTAGATCTTTTTAGTGAAAGCGCTGAACTTCAATTCCGCAACTAATACCAGGGGTAGCTCAGCTGACCTTTTCACTTTAGTCAATAAAATTCTAACAATCAGCTGACCTGACTGAAAACTACGGTTGAAATTTGCAGTTTAGATTATTTGCACGAATTATACGTTTTCACTTTTAAAATCCCTCTGAAAAATAACCACAAGTAACTAGAATGTAGTTTTCTTGAATAAATGGCTCGCTATGCATTACTCAAATTATTTATTATTTTAGACTTTTATACTAACCCTTTTTTTTTCTCTAGGTCAATATACTAGTTCAGTTTAAGTATCGCAGCACCACTTCCCGGCTGAGTGGCAAACAGACTCTCAGAAACCCTTTTAAGCCTTTCTGGGTCAGCGGCATAGTATCCGTCATGCACTTGTTTCATGAAGTCGTCGAGGACATCACTCGGCACCAGGGACACTGTACAACCGCCCCATCCTGCTCCTGTGAGCCTGGAGCCAACGGCTCCAGCTTTTCTAAAAAAATACAAAAAAATCGAACACCAATTTATCAAAATATGATAAATTTGTTGATGAGAAATTCCAGAGAAACAGAGTCAATACCTGCACTGTTGTACCAACTGGTCAAGTTCTTCACAGCTGCATTCATACATCTTACTGCAACTTTCATGGCTCTCATTCATAAGACCACCCAGGACCTGCTCACGAGACACAAAAGTTGGCTGTCACAGTAGATCAACTAACCAATCACATGACAAGCCAATAACTCAAATATTCAAAATTCTGGAAAACTAGACGCCAGTACCAAGAGCGAGGAACAGGACAACTGGTGTCAAGGGCGGGAAAACATACAGCCGGCTCCAAAGGCGGGAAACCATGCAACCGGTACGAAGAGCAAAAAGAGATACAACCAGTGTCGGAGGCAAGAAAGCAGGTAACCTTTGCCAGGGTGAAAAAGCATGCCACAAATGCCCAGCACAGAGAATTGCAACCTACGTTAAAAAAGACAAGCAACGGACACCAAACAGTTATTACCTGGACGGCATTAGCAGGTTTTTCCTCGCACACTGACTTAAACTTGAGCACTCTGGAAGCTTCAGAATACACGTGTTTGGCTCGATCGTGCAACTTGAAGCTGGTGACTCCTGCTGTTGAAGGACTCATGCATTGGCTCACTAACTCCTTGTCCTGTGAGCACACAAACAAACAGACAGACAGACAGAAACCTTCAGCATGATTTCAGTATGACCCCATACTTCAATATGCATACAGTTGTTGGATAGACTGAAAAAACAATAGCGAAAGCGAAAGACTGCTTTTGGGACTACGGGATAATTTGGTTTTATCAACTGAATTGATAATGTAAATTGGCCACCGAAAAAAACTTTCTAAAGCTGACGTTTTGAACTAGCCCTTCACCATTCGCTCTGACGAGGAACTACGGCCCGAAACATCGGCTTTAGGAACTCTTTAGAAACTCTCTAAGGCGGCCAAATAACATTATCAACTCAGCTGATGAAACCAAATTATCTTGTAATACTTGCCCCCTTATTTCATCTGGGTATTCAGGTATATTTTAGAGGAATTTGGAGTAATGTAGAGATCTCTCCATACCTTTACTAGATACATGTAATTGGAATATTTGAGGAAATAAAGCAAGGAGTGTTCCTTAGATGTTATCACCGCAAGCAATTCTTGGACTATTTTGATATCCTACTCGAGGTCCGTCCAACTTTTATACAGTCAACATACCGTAAGTGCAAAGTATTCACATAGCTCTTTCTTCGTGTACGGCTCGACATGCAGGCATGAGTCCACCATTGCAACCCTGTTTCAAAATACAGCGGAAAAAACAGATACCTCTTAAACGTTGCATTCTTACTTTCGATCGATCAATGACTTGGAATAAGGGCTATTTGAACTTTGTTAGAATTTAGATTTTAGTTAAAATAATTCCAAGAAACACTCACAATTGTTATGTTCGGGTCTACTGACAGTTTATTAAGTAAAATCGAAAGTATGAACTTAACTATGGTTTAGCAATTTCATCTTAAATGGTATATGTTGCTCGTCCAAGGTGCAAAATCTTACATTTCATCCAAGCTCTTTTCCGCGCCTTGTTGTACCTCGCTCAAACGACGAACACTTTTCCAGTCCAGTCCACACTCCTTCGCCAGGACCTGTTTACAAGAGGAGAGGTGAGTTGAGTTTCAAGAAAAGGATCCAGTCTAAGGACCAACTATGTCGGATCTTAAACCAGTTTCTCAGAAACTGCAAGTAGAGTTTCTCCCAGAGTGCTACTCCTTCGTTCCTCCTTCCCCTTACGTAAAAAAAAGTCCCTGATGTTATCCCTTGACGCGAAAAGGTAGTATGTGCCAGGCTTGAAAGGCGCCTTTTTTCCTGATTTGCAGAACTGCGTTTATCAATAATACCTTTGCTGCTAGACGACACTCGACTACTCTTGCATTGAAATGCGTGCCAGCCGTCGCAGATTTCTTCATCTCCACCTGCAAAGACAAAATAATATAAAAAGAGGTTCATGTCTGAACATGGACCGAGTGGCTTGTTCTATCGCAGCTTAGTCCAGTTTTAGTAGAAGTAAGTGACTTGCAGCACAGCTACTCTCCTCTGGATCGGAACCCAGTTTATTATAAGAGAAAGGCGCTGTGCGAATGCTTATCACTTTGTTCACGATAAACTGAATTGGATTTTATTTGGTTCCTACTTATGATCTTTGATAGGACAGACGCAAAGATTTCATCACCAATAACAACCTTTCGCCTTTTTATTCTAAAAAACAAATATATTCTATCTTCCCTTGGGTCTGTACAGTAATAGGTCACAGAATACCACAAAATTTAGTAAGAAGTCGTCAGTGACACACTCGGCTGCGCCTCGCGTGCAACTTTTTTGTTCTTAACAAACTTTGATGTCATCTGTGATCTATTACTGAACAGATCCACGGTAACGTGGAATCTATTTGCCAAATTGACGTCACCATTTAATTTCACCTGTGATGTCATTCATTCTTGTTGTTAGCTAAAGAACAAAGCTCATCACATTTTTGATTCCTTAATTTTGAATTCCTAAAAAAGAATCATTTGTTTCTCAAATTACATACCAAGCTATTCGCAATCACAAACACAATGCCTTCTGGAAGAGTGACATCATAAGCTCTTATTGGATCAAACTCGATGTGCTTTGCCTTTAGGAGTTAAAAATGAGAAATAAAAATGAAAAATGAGGTAAAAAGCTGTTTCTTCAGCTAGTATTGTTGGCAAGTTCAGAGAAGCTTTAAATGAACTTTACATGTAACTCTGTAAACACCAGTAGATCAAGCAGCTACTTCATTCCTCATTTCACATACATTTGTTATCCTATCTATTATAATAATTCTCATGTTTTGTCCTTCGCTTTTTCCCTTTTGCATTTTAGTGACAATGTTCTTTCAATCATGGTGTATCTGTTTATTGCACTTTGTGTCATAAGTTGGCACTTGATGCAGGCAAATAACATCAACATTTAAAGGTTAATTCACATCCTGTACAATTTCCTTCTAGTCAGAAAATTATTTTCTTACTGTTCCTGGCTCAGCCAAAAAGGAAATGGATTGGTCCATTCTGTAAAACACAAGGCAAGTTAGAGTACAGGATTTTAAATTTTATTTATCAGATATTAATACTGGGGAGATATTCAGGGCTGAAAACAAATTATTGTTCAAAATGGGTGAGGGAGCTTTTAAATTTGATCTAACTGTGAACTCAGGAGTAGCAGCAAGTTGTTGCCAGAAATCCCTTAAATGTTATGCACAGAGTCACTGTGAATTAGTGACACAGTAAACTGGTAAATTTTTACAAAGCTTGGACTTCAGACTGACTCACACAGCTGCAGAAGCTGAATGCAGTTTCAGGAGCCTGAAGTAAGTAGGAGCTAAGCCTGCAAAAAAATTGTCACTTTTTTTTTAAGGTGAGTAGAGGCAAGTACAAAGTGTGGGTGAGGGGTGGGCATTGCTCACGAATTGCCCTTTGCTCTCTGCTCATGCTTCCCTCACCCTGGCCTTACTTTCCTGAAAAATTGCAAAAAGGGACATCTTTCCCACAGGCTTCTTAAATTATTACTACTCCTTTTGAACAATAATTGAAATATCACAGTTTACCCCCTAGAACTTTGCCACCCTTCCACTTGACAATATTCTGGTGCAAATAGATAAACTAGTCCTAAACATACTATGAGATTTACCGGTAGGTGTCCTACCAAAGAATACCACATAATGATCCTAGCCAGAGGTAGGACCTTTAAACACACTGACTACTATGCTACCATTATGATATCTTTCTCACAAATATATTACCAAACATGTACATGGCATAAAAAAGGAAGTCACAAAAGTTTTTTTGTAATGGTTTATGTGTTAGATTTTCTATGCCTACCCTCCTCCTTCAGTCCCAATGTAGCGCTCACATTTTGTGCATATCTCAGCAAGTTCATGCTGTTAAGCATAAAAGAAACAGATTTTAAAATATAGACTTTTCATAAAGTTTGGATTATTAAAAAAAAAAATAAAGAGTTCACCAGCAAAAAGAAATTAGAATTTAATTGTTTGTGAAAATATTTCCCTTCAAGTTGACCTGATTAAAAGTGAGTGATCACAATTTAAGTTTGTTTTAATTAGTATTTTAAACCCTTAAGGATACTTTGTTAATTCATAGCAGAAAATGTAAAGTTTTGCTCTGATGGTATAAGATCAAAATGTGTCATGGTAACTTTAACTCAAATGATGAACATCCACATTATTTTGAGAGTCACTCCACCATAAAAATTCTAGTTTAACTAGTTGATGGTACACACCTTACTAAGCTTGAGCCCATTGGCATGGAGTGTGGCCAAACCTGAGCAACAAACCAAAGCTGATGAACTTGAAAGCCCTGCACTCTGATGAAAAAGAGACAAAATCATTAGTGTCGTCAAAAAAACATCATCAGTGATCACCCATTCCTTAACTTCAAAAATGAAATATGAAATTATAAGGAAGAGTAAGTTGTTGCTGATAGAAAGTTAAATGAGTGACTAAATAATTTCACATTGACATTTCAGACCTTTGGAACAGTTCCATCTATAACAAGGTTCAATCCAACTGGAGATTCAATCTTCATATGATCCACTAACCCCTAAAAAATTTAAAGACAGGTAACAATAGTAAGATAGCTGATATGTTTGAATAATAATCATCATGATTATATTAAGCACTATTGTTATCATATGATAATTAATCACATGAAGAGACTTCAAGAGGGTACAGTTTAGCAAAAAAAAAGTTTTCATTCACACCTTATAGCCACAGAGAAAATAATGATACCATTCCTTTCCATCAATCTTATAATCTTCACAGCTCACACTGAAATCCCTGATAAAAGAATTTTGAAACAAGAAAATCGATACAAAAGTTAAATACATTTTTAATTGTGCAGTACTTGAAAACTATTCACTAAAATGGAAGTGTTTGGTGGGGGATATGCACCAGGCTGTGAAATAGTGACAGAGGTAAATATCCAACCAGGCTACTGACTCTGAGGTGATATAGTTTCTTACTAAGTATATGCTAAAACAGTGACATATTGAAAGGATATTTGGAGTTTGAGTAGCCAATCAGAGTGCACCTTCAATGCTATCCACAGTTTTAGGATTTACTAAAAACTGCTCACTGATTGTGAAGCAATTTGGCCTGTTTCAGGTCACTGATAAATCCCAAGTGGAAAGGATAAAGACAAATTACATCAAACATAGGTGTGGTTGTGTTTTTATGAAAAATTCATTTAAGGGTTGTTATTTGTATTGCACTCTAAATCACAGGAGTTGTTAATTAAGATGATGAGTGAACAAGAGTTTTTTTCTTTGTTATTTAAACACTTATTTTTCCCTCAAATTTACATATCATGTTGCAGAATGAAGTTTCTGAGTTGTATAACATCGCAAATATCAACAAGTGACTTAGTTAGAAGTTAACAAAATGAAAGGTAGGGGTTAAGATGTTTAAATCTAAAATATTCTTACCTAAGGTCAACCTAGTATCTTTTTATGAGTATTTTCAAAATGACTAGTAAACCCCCTCATCTCCCTGGAGCTGATTTGTTCGGTACCCCTCCTTTCTAAATTTGCAAATTAGTAACATAGAAAGTTTGGAATTTGATAAATGTCTGTTCTTTTACTTGCTCACCGGTTTGATCTACATGTATTGATGTCGTAAGACATTTTGGAATTTTCTCTTTTATTCCATAACATATCTCTATGCCTTATTACTTACTGGAAGTCTTCAAATGTGTTGGATATGTTAAGCATTTTTTGGTCATTAGCTGCCACTGCTATCACAATATCTTGCTCTACAGCCATTGGTAACACTCCATAACCACAGTAATCTATGTGTTCTCCTGTTATATATACATAATATGGCAAATTAAAAGCTTGCATTGATGGTGGTTTTGAGCCCACTTTTGAGACATTAAGGAACAAGTAAAGAGAAGTTTGGAATGAGCTAAAGTGGGAGAAACTACTGCTCTACCACTCAACACTTCAAAACACACAAAAAACCACCAGCTATATAGTATAGAAAATTGGTGAATTATATTTGGTAAGTACAAAATTTTGCACTGAGTGCAAAATGATAACATATGTGAAAATGTGTTGCTCCACAATGGGCACATAGATATTTTTGAAAGAAATGCTGTTAACACAATGAAGCCTCAAGCAACACAGAGTATAAACATTCCAATTTAAAATGATTTCAAGTAAAAATGAAGTAAAACTTGTTTGATGTATGTTTTTCTGTGTTTAAGAATTACAGTAAATTATTTTTGGAACAATGGGAAGTTAGAATAGCTTCCAGCTATGAGAATTTTGACCTGCAATTTGTTTTAAATTACCACATACATGTATGACCACACAAGCAAACATAGTATCCCTTACCGATAATGTTTACTCTTCCAGGGGCTCTTGCATAGAACTCTGGAGAACAGCCAAACTTGCTATGAAATGCCTCCTTGATCTTCTCATACCTTATAAAAAAGATAGAAACCGTAAGATATCATAGGCAGTTGAGTAACATACAATGCATGCCTCAAATTTTCACAGCCTGATGCAAGAAACCATGGCAATACAAAAATACAATGGCAGAATTTTTTTCAGAAATTGTAAAGTGTGGAAGTTTACTGCTCTGGTTTAAAGGAAAAGAGGAATGGATAAGCTTAGAACTTCTTCTGCAGTCATGTTTCATAGTTAAACACACTACATTTGCTTAAATTTACATATAGATTGTTAGAGTGTGATCAAGAGAATTCATTTTGCACAGGTTTTGTTCCATTTATGTTAATATCTGTGGTAGGACCAACATTTAGACTTATCATTTGAAGGACAGTATCGTTACCTTTAACCCTTTAACTCCCAGATCAAATTTGTAATTCTCCTTTCTGTCAACCATACAATTCTTATCATGTTAGTTCAGAGAATTTAGTATTGAATCAACTAATTATCCCCAAATTGATATTTTTCTTAATTCTCATCACTTATCTAGTTGATATTGTATTGATATTGTAAGGAGAAATTCTCTCTTGGTCACTCATGGGAGTTAAACGGTTAACTATTACCTTTAACTAAATACTACAACTCAACAAGTTGAGATATCTTTGTTCTGTGACCACAATTTTATTGGCTGAATTTCAAATTTTGGTGTCTCTTGTTTCAGTTCTGCCCTCGAATTGGTTTCCATAGTTTAGGTGCCCCTACTTTACACTGATGAACTGTAAGGACTTTAGTGTAATTTAGTAAATTAATATGATTTTCAAACCTTGTTTGTCTACCAAACCAAATTACGAAACAATTTTCCTCAAACCATAAATTAAATTTGTACCAACAGTATAATCTGTTGCAAAAACATGGTGATAAACCTCTGTAGTTCTCTGCAAATAATACTCTACAAGGAATGATGAGGGGCCATTGTGCATATTCTGTAGCTTGCAAAAATTAAGCGGATGGGATAGTTAAAGAAAAACCTTATTTCTGAATTATCTCTCTACCTCAAACCTTTCAGATATTTTCCCTTCTTGCACTAAAAGATATAAAATATCATTCATCTTTCGGAAAGATTTCCGTCTAACCCCATACTAATCTAAAACAAAGCCGTTGTCCTAAAAGCAGTCTTTTATTTTCGCCAATCTTTTCTTTATTTAAGAACTATATGCATAATGAATTATGGGGCTGTAGGGAAATCTTGCCCAGCATAACACCAAGCGTTACAAGTCTTCGGTTTCTTCTGGAACCATTTCCCATCACGTGACATAATCACAGACCGGCTAGTGTCAGTACCTGACAGTATTAAAATTCAAATCTTTAAATTTTTTTCCTTAGAAAAATCATGCTGTTTTCCCCTGAATTTTAGCGCTAAATTTCTACTCCACCATATTCGAGCATAACATGACAATCATCATTACAAAGGGACGATCTTGAAAATCAACTACCGATGATTTTAGGTGCGAAACCTGTTACCGGAAGTTGAAGGAGCAAAATAAGGAAATTACGCTAAATTCGGGTCCTGAAAGAAAAATCAGCTTTAAGTAACGAGAAAAAGTAACCCAGATCTCTAACCTCGACAATGCTTTATCTGTAGATGCTAAATAGATCTTTTCCAAGGAGGAATACAACGATGGACATTCTCCTGAACTGTTCGCCATCTTGTTTCGCAGCCCGAAGTAGAGGTCTGGAACCAATAAGGCTAATGGTAGTGACCGCTGTAAAACAAACTTTGGTCACGAACTGTCGGCTCGGTTCCGTCACGATACGTCACGACCAAAACATTACATCGTTTTCCTTGAAATATTCCATCAGAAATGCCTCAAACAAGGTTAAGTGTATTGTTAGCCTTTTTTTCAGCCGTTGTTGCGTAAAGTAAAAACCATGTTTTACGTACCAAGTGGCGCTCTGAGCGGAACGCCGAGCAATGGTAGCAATGACGGTCTCGATGGCGCGCAATTTTCGGCGTGCGCTTCTCGAAATTTGTCTGGGCTATTGGACGAACAGCGAAAGAGAGGAGTTGGCACGGCCTTACTTACAATTACAGGTGTGTTTTAGTTCACTACAGAAATGTTCCATTCAGGATATTTACCGTAGTTAGTGAGCGTGACTGATGTCCAAGTTTGATGCGATTTTCAACGAAATACGGTTTTCCGAGAAATATCTGCGAACCAGTGAACTTGGTACATGCGACGCAGTTTTTCATAAATGTTTTTTTTTTTGGAAATATTGGTCACATCTGCGAGCTGTTTATAGGTGCAATAATCAAAGGCTTTCAATAACTAAGCCTATGTTCTTTTCCATGTAAGAATGAATTATTTTATATTCACCATCACGGTTTCATAGGTCTTAACTGAAAGAGCTGAATGGCATGCTATTGTTTCTTCAGCACCACTTCTAAAGCCCTATGAATATTCAGTAATAAGCTGACAGATACAACGTATTGTTTGTGAAGAGGTGCAATGTTTATTCAATGTATTGAAAAATTGCCTCAGATTGTAAAATTATGTTTTTAGATACTAGTATCGACACATCTGGTTATTCTTAAAATACATAAGTTAAAAACGAAAATTCAATTGCTAACGGTTCTAAGTCTAATTCTAATGGTTATCACCTACTCAAGTTAATTGCAAAATGTGCATGTAAGACAATTATAAAGGCTGATAAGATTATTGGATGTGATACTAGACTTTGAGGGGGGGGAGAGATACTTCTCGCAATTCTGAGCAGAGGGAGTCTCAATTTAGACCAAAACATGGCATCATTTTCAGATTTGGCCCTTTGTTGCAAAATAATTAACCTTTGCATCAGTGCGGAAATTAAGAATGTTTAAAACTCTCTTGAAAATTCAGTGTTTTGTTTTGAGATCTTGTTTTTCTATGACTGTATTATGCACTCAGAGTTCAAAATACAACAACATGGTTTGTTTATCTCTGATGGTTCCTTTGAAATATCATGCCCAATTTAAAACTATATTTGTCAAAATCTACATCCACTTTCCAATCAATGTGGCTTTATCCTTTACACCCTAACATCAGTATCCATATTCTCTATACTTTTCTCTATAAATTCCTGTTGTTACTGACATGGAGAATTTGTTTAACAATCAAAGCTTCTTACATTGGGGATCATTTCCTTTATTGTCACAATCTTAATGAATGATTCAGCAGTTTTACTGCAAGGAGAAATTAGATGCAAGTCACTCTTAGAGTTTAAAGGGTTAAAAACCACGCCTTTGAGGTAATGCACACATTTGGGCCAAGGAGAAGTATTTTCCCAGAGATACTGATGGTATTAGTAATTGGAAAGGTTCTCATAACTGCAATGAAACAGCATACTGCAGTGTTGTGAAACTTTCCTATTCTTTGATTTTCGTTGAAATTTTGGTGACGTAAGACGAAAGGCTTTTTTTATTATCTGGACTTGTGGGAAGTATATAGAATAATCAAGAGTGTAGATAATCAGATATGTAAATATCAATGAGCTTAAAATAACACTGAATACATATCATCACAAACTCTCAAATCATTGTGCATCACTGCCACAATTTTACAAAGTATTTACAAAAACATATTACGACAGCGATGTTATACCATCTAAAATGCTGTTGTAAATCAGTTTGTTTCAAATAGCCAGTGTGTGTGCACATTACTAATTCTATCATTCTTTGAAGCTGTATTAATGTAATAGCAGTAGCATTAAGAATTTCTCAGGACATCTGCTTTGTTTGGTGGGAGAAAGTAGTGACTGATCTCAAATGTGACCAATTAATATTCATGAAAACATGGGACCAGAAAAGCAAGTTCAAAAGATCATCATTATCATTCAGTAGAAAAATTCAGGAGAAAATATCATATCTAAATTTGCAAAAAAAAACCTCTCTATCTCTAAATTAGACGTTTTACCCTTCAACCCCCTAAAGTGACTAATTAAAATGTAACTTCTCCCCATAGTATCTGATCAATTCCTCCAGCAAACAGGTACATGTAATGAGAATGCTCAAAGTTATCTTGAAGAAGTTGTTGTCTTGATCTAATACTGAATTCTCAGATAAATATATCAGTATCTGGGCAACTGCCCACCTACCCTCCCCTAACCCAACATTAACCTTAACTTGTTATCAATTGACTGTTGTTGAGTTAGGGGAGGGGTAGGCGGGCAGTTGCCCAGATACTGATATTGATTTGAATTCTCTTAGCTAATTAATAAGGAAATGTGTTGCGGCCAGAGAGGAGAATTAACAATTAGATCTTGGCAGTTACATGCAAATGGTTGAGGAACTCATGATTCATGTTCAATTGTAATTTTTCTTCTGCAGTTGTTGAGGGGCGAAACCTTTCAGTTATGGACCCCACAGGAAAGTCTGATCCATATTGTATAGTGATTGTTGGCAACCAGGAGAAGCGTACAGCAGTGCAGTATAACACCATTGCTCCAGTATGGCATGAAACATTACAGTTTGAAGTCAGTGGTGTACCTCAGCTCATGCAGAATGAATCAAGTGAGACCATCCTTTGAAGTGTATAGTTGTTTATCACTATTACTGTTATTACTGAACATTGTAAAGGAGATGCACAGAGGAAGGTGTTGGTGTTGTGTTGTTTTGCCAGGCATGATCTGTGTAACCCTTTATGCCCTAACATCAATATGCATATTATCCTTACTGTTCGCTATACATATCCCTGGTAATAACAAGAAGAATTTGTTTAGCAATCAAAGATTCTTAGATTGGTGATCATTTCCTTTATTCTTATTATTGTAATGAATGATTCAGTAGTATTACTTTCAGGAGAAGTAAATGTTAGTCACTCTGAGGGTATATAGGGTTAAGCACTCACTGTGGTGGGCTGTATGAACCATTTTGTCTTCTACAAGCTGTGAAATGAAAATGGATAGGCCATTGTCAGCTGAATTAGCGACATGTAGTATATTCTTTACAAGCTGGATAATGAAAATAGATGGGCTTTACCTAAAATCTCTTTGTATTGACTTTTTTTGAAAATTGTGATTTTCTTTTAGTTGAGAATGCCATGAACTGCTGCCTTCAACACTATATCCAGATTGATGTGTGGGACCATGATACTCTCAATCGTGATGACTTCATGGGTAAGATTCAAATCCCAGTCTCTCTTCTGTCAGAAGAAACAACAGCTTGCTGGTTCCCCCTGGGAAGAGGTTCAGCCAAAGAAAATATTCGTGGTGATATATTTTTGGAACTGACCTTGAAGGCATCTCAGGTATTGGCTGATATTAAGTTGCACACAGTTATTGTTAGTAGTGCAGTCAAACCTGTTACAAGCGGTTACCCACAGGGATTTCATTTGTAATTCTCCTTACTGTCTGTGATACAATTCTTATCATGTTAGTTTTGAGAATTTGGTATTGGATCAACTTATAATCCCCTAATTGATATTTTTTCTTTATTCTCATCACTTGTCTGTTTGATATTGTGTTGATATTGTAAGGAGAAATTCTGTCTTGGTCACTCGTGGGAGTTAAAAGGTTAATAAAGGTTGACTGCTTAGTACAGGTTCTACAGAACAGGAGTATTACAACAAAGTGATAAGGAAAAAAATTTGCATGCCATAATTGACCACTCCAGATACAAAAACTTGCTATGCAACCAACATTGATTTTGGGAGAGAAACATGGATTAAATTTTACTTGAAAGATTATTCCAAGTTTTATTTGGGTGTTTCTGCTTAAGTGACCTTTCAACTCAGGTAGAGGACAAAACAAACAGGCTGTTGGGACTCAGTTAAGGGTGACCACTACTGCAAAATAGAGGTTACCACTTAATAGAGGTGAAAATTACAGTGATTAAGGGGAAACAATTTGGAACTTTGATAACTGACAGCCTAATACAGGGTGACCACTTAATATGGTGCTACTTAACCCTTTAACTCCCATAAGTGACCAAGTGATGAGAATAAAGACAAATATCAATTTGGGGATAGTTAGTTGATCTGATACTAAATTCTCTGAACTAACATTATAAGAATTGTATGGTTGACAGTAAGGAGAAGTACAAATTTGATCTGGGAGTTAAAGAGTTAATACAAGTTCAACTTAAGTAACAACCTCCTCTAAACCTCTGACCCCTGAAGTGATGTGATGGGTTCACTTTTATTTATTTTTTTTTTTAATTTAATCTACTTTTTAATAAATGAATTTTCTTTTTATTGTGAGTTTACTGATATAATTATTTAAAACATTATTTGATTCTGTTTCTAAAGCCAGTACCAAGGTGGTGTATGGACTATGAGCTGTATTCACTTTGCAAAAGGAAACCTGGATTTGAGATTCCTGTTGCATTTGGAGATTCTGTGGTTGATTTTCCAGGTACATGTACTGTACAATGAAATTTTGTTGTGGAACATGTGTATTTGACTGTTTCAATAGTTGTCAGCTGACAGAGTATTTTTAGGCCCTATCCATATAATTGTATTTAAAGTGCTCTTTTTTGTTGCAAATTAAACACAGTAAGATTATTTTCATCCTCATTAAAATTTTCATTTTGTTTTCACCTAACCTCACATTGAAAATGAAAAGCTAATCAAGATGAATAACAGTTACAAGCTTTAGAGCACAAAAGTGGGTGTGACAAAATACTGTTGGTACTATGTTGGCATAAATTTTCAGGCTCTATATAAGCAGTGAAAAATTACACACAAGCACTTGAACTAATCAGAATGAGGGTGCTATTAATAATCTAACAACAATACTGTATGTGCTTTTGGTTTGTTAGTTATTCAGATTTTTTGTAACTTGTAACTCTGGGTGTATGTTGTAGCATTAAAATAAGATTTTTTTTAACCTAAACTCTTTGTTACAGTAGGAGGCAAACCAGTTTACTGTTTTCAGGGCAAAGCCAATAAATTTCACAGAGGAAAAGAGAAAATAAATTCCATGAGTAGCAGGGTAGCAGGCATTATGACACAACCGCCTGATTAGAATTCCAGCATTTAAGCAAAAAGGCCATGCTGCCATCTACATGGTTAATATTTTGTAGTAGTCATTTTGCATCTGACATGTTGGCAGGCGATGCAGAAAGAGTGGAGATGGTTATTGATGATGTGGTTGTTGAAGTCAGTAAACACAGAGGTATTGGGCGAATGTACCTTACAAACTTCAGGTGGGCATTATTTGCAGTGTTTTGTATTCATGTAAAATGAGTAGACATTTACTGTATTTTTCTAATAACAGCTGTCTTGCATAAATTTACATGCTGGCTTCTAAATTTATTTGTTTTTCATTTGCTTTGCAGACTTGTGATTCTCTGTCACTTGTCTGGTTTGACTGCAGCTGGGTATACTTATGTGAGTATCTATCATGTTGCTGGAAAATCTTGTGAGAGTTAATTTTGCATAGAAGTGTTTTTTTCCTCATCTGGAACAAACTCTGATTGATATTTCTGTTGGGAACTAGTGATAATTGGCAATTGTTTTTGTTCTAGCAGCAGAGTATTACTGGCAGTGAGGCAGTAAAGGTTATATCTTTAAATTTAGTCACCACTCTATCATTGAACATGTGGGAATTAGGTTTTGTGATTCAGAAAATTTATTTACATGTAAGATCAGGTTTCTTCTTATAATTAAAAAGTAGTTGGTTTTTTTTCTGTCAAAAGTTTATTGGCTCAGTCTGTAAAAGGGGTAGTTTGCCATTTTTTGCAGTGTTCTGTTCTGCAGGATCTTTTATTTTTCCTGCATGAGCCTAATAATGCATATTAAGAACAATCCACAGAATTTGCAAACAGTCAATTTTCCCAAAATTTTCATGGTACACAGAAGTGTCAAATAACACATGGAAATGTGTTCTTGGAGATTAAATTTTTGATAGGATGATAGAAAGGATAGTAAGGCTGCAGTATTTATTTTAGACCTCAATTAAAATTGAAATGATTTCTAACAAAGCTTTTGTAACCCTTTGATGGCTCTGTTGTCTGAAACCTTTTACTTGTCTACAAGAAGAATTAGTGTTGCTTATGATGTAACAAAACATGCAAGAACATTTTGTTCTTTTATGCAACTCAACTAATGTTGGTGAAGATACTGATTAATTCATTTTTTTTTTTTCATTTGGTTTTATGTTACAGGACATGTCTTTGACAGTTGCACTAAATAACATCCAGTCAGTTGACAGAGGGGAAGATGAAAAAGTAAGTTTCCTTAAGTTGAATTTATCATAAACATTTTCATCTATTTTCTTTTAACTACATTGGAGGCAGGAGTGCAGAAAGACCCTTGAATTAATTTGTAAATAACATTTATTCTGATGTCATATTGATTTTTCTGTGTGATGTGAAGCTTCTCAAAGCAAAATTTTGATAAGATACTCTGTGGGCTGCCTAAAACTGTACTTAGATTGCTGCTGAATTTCACTACCTAATGGCTTTATTATTTCCACAAGAGCAAGCATTGGTCCTATCCCTCCTTTCAGAAATCACCTTACAGTGTCAAGTGGATATGCCTTTACTGTAAAACTAGCTTTGTTTTCCCTACAGATCACTATAGAGTACACTCTGTATGAGATGTGCACTTTACTTCAGAACACACCCACAAGTAACTGTAAGACATATTATGAAATGAAAAAAGTGCATGTAAATAAAACCAAGAAAGGAAATTAGTTTGAGAATTTAGATCTATATATGTCAACAAAACCTGTAATCAAGAACATGCCCCTATTTGTTGTTAGATCCCGCACTCTGTTTTCAACCTTTGATTATTAATAAGTTATTTGGCTCAACGCTTCTGAGGTTGATGGATAAGTTATCAGCACCCCCAATGCTTAAACGCATAACTTCTCCTTTCTGTCTTTCATGAAGGTTGTTTCAAGGACTGTTAGAGGCAATGCTGGTTTCTCTGATGTGAAGACCCTGACTATAAGATGTTGGGATTTCCGCACAATCCGGCTAATCTTCATGAGAAAACCTCAATACTTGCACAGCTTTTATATGCCTCCGGATCCAGGAAGTATGCAGTCCAGTCCAGATTCTATACTTGCTTCACTACAACCAAGCAATGCAGAATGTGTCAAAGACTCAAGCCTGCCGTCAACAGGTTCGGAGGGAGAAGGCACTGATGGTGAGACGACCGGTGTTATGGAAATGGCTTTCCTTTGATTCTCCAAAATAATTTTCCATTCTGGAAATATCCCGCGAAGTAAAACGCCGCAAAATATACCACCTTCAGTCTATGACAAAGGAATGTGTCCCATAATGGTTATTGTTCAAAACATGCAAACGACAGACTGATTCGTTTCTGATCCCTACTGAGAATTCAGATATTCTTTATCTCACGTTCGTGTTTTGAGATTTTTAACATCTTTCTTTGAGCAGATTTCAATTTTGAGCAGCGAAAGTAACGCGGGATTGCATTGGTTTTGCTTAACTGTGATTGGTTTGGAAAATGTGTGCTACTCTTTCTACCAATCAAATACATAATTAAAATCAGGCGCGTTTGGTCACTCGCGTTTTCCCGCCCTTTTTTCTTATTGATTTATTTTGAGTTTTTATTGGCTCCTTGTGTTATCCTCCTTTCTTCTGATTGGCTGTTTCTAAAGAAATTGTTCACCTTAACGCTGATTATACATTATGTACAACAGGGAAACAACCTTCAAACCAATCTCAACCAACAGACCTTCTCGCGGCAAATGAGTCTGCGGGAAACCTCACACGACCCAGCAGTTGCAGCAGTTTCCGGATCCTGTCACGCAGTAGCAGTAGTAGCAGCAGTGTGGCGGGTGTCAGCTCACACGGGTCTGATGGTCCACAGCTTGTTCCTCAAGGTACCTCAGGGGTGTTGGGTCCAGGATTATTAGCAGCGGCTCTCAGCGGTGTTGGATCAATGAGTAATGCATCGGAGAGATTAAAGACTGAGTTGATACCGGCCTCCACGTGAGTGCAAATAGAATAACTTGGTATACAAATAGTTCCAAAACGAACCTTGTTGAGGCCGAAAACGGTTTCTCCGTGATCATGTTCTTTCACGGTTTTCTCCTTCGGGAAAAACTTCGTACGCGCGCTAGTTTCTCTAAACTCCTAGCAAACTACACATCAGAAGATAGCTTAATAAATGCAGTTTATGATAAAAATATAATTCAAGTGAGTTTTAACGTCATTGTCTGCATAAAGAGCAAGTTTCAAATGAGTGTCAAAAGTATTCCGAGGTTGCTGTGCTTTTACTCTATTTCGCTCTGTAATTGGTGCACAAAACTCGCGTCATTTTCTCGACCAATTAGATTCAACGCTCGCGTTTTCCCGCGCTACAGGGTAGAGGCCATTTTCGGTATATTAAAATTCCAATTTGGCTTCGAGGGGGAATAAAACAAAAGAAATCACATCGAGATAGAGGGATGGATTACTAATTTCTTTTGTCTTGTTCCTCTTAGCCTCGGAGCCATGTTAGAATTTTGATATATCGAAAAAGGCCTATTTGCTTGTTTTTACTCTGAGTTCTCATTGGTTCCCGGTGATATCTTCCTTCGTTCTGATTGGCTGTGGTGATTGCTTTGGTTTCGGTCTCACGACATTCAATCAAAAAGCACTCTATTGATGATAGCGAACCCCGTTTCAGGCATAGTGTTTCAACAATTTGACAACAATCGTAAGATAAATCGTTTTGTTCTCTTTTTTTTGCAGATTTTTAAATCTTTACATTAGTGTGTTTTATCAAAGACTAGAATACCTGGCCATGAATGCTGTTGATAATCCTCCATCTCTGCACTTTGTTAAGTGAGTAAATTTTCGTCCGTATTATTATAACTGTTACTGTCGTCATGGAACTCGATTGTGTGATGCAGTCACACAGTGAGAGATTTCAAATACGTTCGGCCGCCTGGTAAGTAAAGTCCTTAGGATCAATGTAAGTAGCTGTGTTACTGCGCAGCTTCTCCTCCTCTAACCCAACAATAGTGTACCAATATCAATCCAGGGTTAATGTTTGGTTAGGGGAGGGGTAGATGCACAACATGCTCAGTTACAGAGTGAAATCAGAACAACTGGTTATTGTAATTTAAAGGTCGTTTTCTTCAGATTCGGAGAATTTCCCAGTTGATGTTAGATTGTCTTTTTTTGGGGGGAAAAAAAAGGTACTGTGTTACAAACATGAATGTTAACATCACAAAATGAATTCCTTCGTGTTCGATGCAAACCGCAGTCGCAACCCTAAGCTTAGTCGAAGTGTAAATTGTCAAGTCAGCATCAATGGGAATCCAGTCGTCCAAGGAATGTCGAAAATCTTGCAGATTTCCTCTCTTCTGGGAATTCAATGGAGGAATATCTATAGTTGGCATCGAACCCCACCCCCTCTCCTAACTGTAGTAAACGGTTGGTTGTCAAAGTCCCTAGTTCTTTCCCTTTAAACACTGTAATTTTTACCTCTATTTAACAGTCACCTACATAAAGCGGTTGTAGTCACCCATTACCGAGGGGTTTGTTTTTAGTCTATCTGTTTTGATCGGTCACTTAAAGCGGGACCATTCAAATGAAAGTTAGAATAATATTTTTCAACTAACTTAATTAACTAGCTGTGGAATAATTTTGGAGGAATTCAAGATAACTTTCTTCTTCTCACCCAGAATACTGCCAAGGGACACAGAACTAAGCGGCTGGAGTGTGTATGACTTCCATGAGGAGTTTGCAAGGCAACAGGTTTGTCCACGTGGAGATCCCAAACGGGATCACTCGGGTAGATCTCTTTCTTGACTATGAAAATTGCATCTCGGTTGAATAAACCACCTCGTAACAGTAATGCCTTTACAATGGAGTGAAACAAGCTATCATTAAAAAGTTTGTGATCAGCACCCTGATCTGACATATGTAAAACACTTTCCATCAGTGAAATCTTTTTCTAGTGCGCAGTAATTCCGATGTGATGACTCCTTTGTAACAACGAACCATGTTGTGTGCTGAAAATTCATCTGATAAGGGAACACAACGTCGCTTAACCCCTTTTATATGGACTCGTTTTCCCACTCACCATGTCTTGGTATCGGGTTTTGATGTTTGATTTGTGTTGAAATATTTTGATGAGCCCAAACATAGTGAAGTGATGATTCTTAGATGAAAAGATCCTTTAATTTTGCTGTAGGTCTCTGACAAATGGCGTGTCAGTATAATCAACCAAGAGTTTCTCCTTTGCTCATCGTACCCGCCACTGTTTTATGTTCCTGGAGAAATACAGGTGAATAAGGTTACGTCTGCTCTTTTCCTGAGAGCATTAAAAACGAAACGTTTTTTTCTCTGTTTTCAAAATATATGGGTCTACTCGTAGCGTATACGATTTGACGTCGTCTGTCCACACGTATTCGAAAACCTTTTTTGGGGTCCGTTCACGCTCTCTTAACGAAATCAACTCTGAGGAGCGTTTTTAGAGGGCTTAGGCGTATAGAAGAAATCTCCGTTTTCAACAATGTTAGTACGTGGGATCTTAATTTTTGCCTGATTGGTTGAAATTCAATTTAAGTGATTAAGGACAGCGTAGTTGTTTAATAGAAGTTAAATAGTCTAAGAAGTTGAGAACATTCTGAACCATGTCCGTAGCTCCGTGTTAGAAATTCGGCGTGGGTTCACCCGGTGATTACTTTTCCTATTCTTTGTCAACAGGATTCTACACTGAAAGAATGTGCTGCATTTCGAAGCAAAGTAAGTAAATGTAGTGCTTCGTTTATCTTCTTGATACAGTCGTTGTCGGGAACACGGACTTGTATAACAATGGAGGCTATTTAGGTTAAGAGATTGTAATTGTATTGTTGTAATATAACGCCGTTGGGCCTCTTGAAACAGGAACTCGTATCTTTGCATTTCGTGTTTCGTTAGTTATATTTCGCCATCCCTCGCCCAACATGTCACTTTTTGGCTGCTTTGATAGCCACACATACATCGTGGAAGGACGAAGGGAAGGGAAAGGATATATCTCCTTCTCTCTTCTTGAAATAGTAGAAAGTGCTCTTGACTTTCGTCTCTACATGTTTGAGTTTTTTTGCTTATTACTAATATTTACTTCAGGCGTGGTTAAAGGAAATTAATCACAAGTTTTGCCGTATTTGTTTTGTAATAGGGCCGTCTTCCAGTCCTGTGTTGGTACAATTTCAAAAAGGGTAATTTTATTATGCGTTGTGCACAGCCGAAGACTGGACCTGCTTTTAAGGTATGTAGACTTATTTGTAGTTATTGAGAAATCAAAAGTCTCGTTCATTTTTGTAAAGACCTCTATGTTAACGATGATATTGAAGCGACCGAACGGACGCTCCATAAAAATTAGGATTATCGCATGTCTATCGAAACCGAGCGCGTCATTTTCTCAACGGTTATGTTTGACCCAAATTGACCAATAAGGAAGCAGAATTTTATTTTGTCATCTTAAATTCCAATCCCTCGTTCTTTTTGGCTATACACTTAAAACGGCTTGCTTGACTTAATTAAGTTGGGCTGTTAAGATGTATTTATTTGTTTTAAGTCGTTTGCCTTTCTATGTCTCTGTGAAATGAATGACAGATAGACAAACAGACGGTTTCTAAAAAAATTGTGATGCATTGGCGAGTAACATATAGTTAATTAAAGAGTGAAAGTTATAAACTGACAGACGGACCGACGGATAAACAGACGGACAGACCGACAAATAGGCACACAAGCAGAGAGACACAAAGACCGACTGGTAGGAACACAGGCAGGCAAACAGATTTACAGACCAACAGATAGGAACACAAACAGACAGACAGACAGATAGGGACACAGGCAGATAGACAGCAGACAGAGAGGAACACAGACAGACAGACAGACAGACCGACCTACAGATAGGTACACAGGCAGACAGACAGACAGACAAATAGACAGACTGACAGATAAGCACACAGACAGACAGATAGGCACACAGACAGACAGACCGACAGATAGGCATATAGGCACACAGGCAGACTGACAGACAGATAGACTGACAGATAAGCATACAGACAGACAGTCAGACAGACAGATAAGCACGCAGACAGATAGACAGACCGACAGATAGGTATACAGGCAGACAGACAGACCAACAGATAGGCACACAGGCAGATAGACAGACTGACAGATAAGCACACAGACAGACAGGCAGACAGATAAGCACACAGACGGACAGACTGACAGATAGACACAGGCAGAAAGACAGATAGATGGACAGACAGACCAACAGATAGGCACACAGGTAGATAGACAAACTGACCGATAGGCATACAGACAGACAGACCAATAGATAGGCACACAGGCAGACAGAGACTGACAGGTAGACGGACACGGAAAGAAGGGCAGACCGACAGACTGACGCGGACATTTAGACGCATAGCTCATTTCCTCAATTTTATGTTGCCTTCTTTCAGAACTCAATTGATGATGAACTTGTCATTAGCACTGCTAGGAAGTGTAACAAATTTACAGATAAGCTGGTAATCTTTGATGCAAGGTCCATGTTTGCAGCTGGTGGTAACATGTTGAAAGTAAGTTAGAATTTGAACGCCTGTCAGCTGGTGACGCGTCAGCTTTAAAGCCATTCGGCTTAAATATTATGCTCCGCTGTGATTTGAGCATTTTGATAATGTATTGCTTCACCGATCCGCTGTCCTATCGCTCTCTTGTTGTTGTGTTTCTTGATTATAGTCATCCCTGCCTCCAAGATTTTACTTTTACTGTCTCCATTGTTGCGGTTGAACTCACTCACTCAATTTTCATTATCTCGTGTGGGACTTATGCTAAGATCAATCTCCTCATCAATTATTCTACATGGGCGCGCCGAAAATGAGATCAGATAGCAAACGTCATTGCCACATGTAAATAAATGCTGTTGCGCACTTAGCAAATTAAAACTTCTTAATTTTCCGTTAAATACGTTGAAATATTTTTTATACCGAAGTTAGTGGCCTTTTTTTGGCGGATGGGGGAGTCGCATTTCTTATTAGTTCTGTGATTTCTTAAGCTGCCAGTGCTTCATGGCTTACTCACAGAAATGTTTTTCTCACTTCGCTGACGAATTCATTGACCTTTTTAGTCGGAGCCTGGTTATGAGCTTGGAGCTAGTTTACAGGCATGATCGATTCTCCATGCGTGGTTGATTTGAACAACTATCACAAATCACGTACTTAAACTACTAGGATGTTGTTAGGTAACATTATTATACACACGTAATATGTCCTTGTTTCAGGGAAAGGGAACAGAGGACACAGTAAACCGATACCAGGGCTGTCAATTGTTGTTTCTTGATATTCCTAATATTCATGCTGTGAGAGACAGTTTGTACAGACTGCAAGGTGTCTGTGAGTCTTCGGCACAAAAGAAATGGCTGTCTCATTTGGAATCCACACAGTGGTTGGCTTACATCACTTGCATACTAAAGGTACTGTCATGTTGACTATTGAACTTAAACAACCTTTTTTTTTTTTACCTCTCCCCATCGTCCAAGTACTGATACACTAATGGTATTTGTTTTTCTATTTAGGACTGAAACCCTCTTTTGAGCAATCAAAATCTCAGTAAACCCGCTCCTCTATGACTTACTGACGTGACAAATTTTTTGTTCCATTTTCTCCTAATTGTTTTGATAAAAAGTTAAATTGTCATTAAAAGTTGATGCCTTTTTGGAGAATGAAGAAGATTGTGGCTTAAGTTCTTTCATTTATCACCCCTCTACCCAGTTCAGGAAGTCGCCACCGGTGAAACAAGTTGCCGTTAAACTGATGAAAAAGTCTAGCATCGTAGAGAATTGTTAGTACAAATGGTAAACAAAAACCGAAATTGCTGGAAACAATTGCAAGCAATAGTGCTGTTTGAATTTCACGGTAGGCGCCAAATTTGATCGCTTGAAGTCACACAGTTTACAACTATAAAAAAATAAGCTCCTTTGTTTGCAGGAATTTCTCGGGGATCGTACAGATAATACTGGTTTTACGATCAAACATGACGGCGCGCAGAAACTTCCAGTTCTAAAAAGTGGTTCTTCATTTTGATTTTTCCCACACTCAATATTTAATTCCCATTTGCGCTAGGAAATTTTAACTTTAAAGATTATTTTCGTCAGTTTAACGACACTTGGTTCCATCAGTAGGGGTCTTTCCGATGTCATGTTTAGAGGTGTTTTTTATTGTGATTTCATTTTTTCCGCTGTAAATTGTTTGTTTATTGTGTCTATTTGTTTGCTCTAGGGTACCGTGACAATAGCACGGTTTGTTGATAAGGGAGCCGCTGCCCTGGTGCACTGCAGTGACGGGTGGGATCGAACGTCACAGCTGACGTCACTAGCTCAGCTCCTTCTGGATCCGTTCTACAGAACAATAACAGGATTCCAGGTACACGTGTCATACTCTCGCACTTTATTTTAAAACCTAAATTTTAGAAGAGTGGTTTTTTTTTAATCGCAAAGAAAATGATTAAATGTTTCTTGGAGTATACTTCTCCTCTTACAGAGTTCAAAATAACTTTGAATGTCTCCAATTCAAGGTTCTTATAGAAAAAGAGTGGATATCTTTTGGTCATCGGTTCCGTGATCGGCTTGGTCATCCATCATGTCCTAGTCAGCGGTCGCCCGTGTTTTTACAGTTCTTGGATTGTGTATGGCAGGTCAGTTGATTAAATTGATGCGAAATTTTTGTTTGTCTGTTAATGTATTTCTGGTACTCCTCTTAAATGTTTCCCTCCTTTTTTCTGGTAAAAAAATGCCTTTTAAGCTTTCTTAACCTTACTACTTGCCCTTAAATTTTGTGGAACCCATTTTCTGTTTTTTATGCGATTAAGTGGATCATATGTCTTTGTTTGATTGTTATTGTTTTCTTTCTACCTGGTTTGTCACATGATTATGGGCTAGTTTAGGAACTAACCTCACAAACCCTCCTTCGTCGCTGATGTTACTTAGGCTTGTTTTGTGCCTTTCAGATTGTGCAACAATTTCCTAGTGCTTTCGAATTTACTCCGCTGTATTTAGTTAGAATAGCAGACCAGGTTAATTCACAATGGTAAGTAGTTGTTATTTGTTTGTCACGGGGGATGTTTTCTTCCTCGACCCCATTTACCGTTTCTTTCCCTTCCCTCTCCTCCTTTTCCACCCTTTCTCCCTCTCCTTCCTCTCTACAATTCTTTCCCTGTAGACTTCCCCCTGCCCAACATTCTCTCCTTCACTAAATGTTTTTTCTTTCTTCCTTGCCAATTTCGTGTATCCTGATTTAACTGTTCTTCTTTTGAAGGTTTGGAAATTTTCTTTGTAATAACATGAATGACCGAAAAAAGCTTCTGGTTTCAACCTTAACCTTATCACTATGGGCTCACTTAAGAGCAGATGAAGACGCCTTCCGAAATCCAACTTACAGGAAATATAACGAGGTAAGACTAGAATGCACGATTTTTTCCACCGGAACAGTTTTCAAGGATAACATCCCTAAAACGTTTCTACAATAGTTTTACAACCCAAGAAAATTCCCATTTCCCCACGTACTATTCACCGCTTTTGAAGTTTGTTTCTTGGTTTGTTCCTTCCTTAGTATGTTCCTTAGATAAAGGGGGGGTAAGTTTCTAAAGAAACTATGGTGCTGCGTCAGTGGGAGAGTATAACAAGGTAATTTAGAATTATTAAATGAGGTGATAACGTTAGTTCGCACCGTAGAGAGTTTCAAAGCTGACGTTTCGAGCGTTAGCCCTTCGTCCGAGCGATTGCGAAGGGCTAACGCTCGAAACGTCAGCTTTGAAACTCTTTACGGTGGCCAATTTATGTTATCAACTCAGTTGATAATACCAAATTACCCTTAGTAAGTTCCTTAGTATGTTATTTCCTTCGATCAAACACCACACGCTCTCGGAGGAATTCAGGCATTTTGACTTTCAAAATTCTTTACAGTGTTTTAAAGACTTATAACTCTCTAAGAAAAATACCTTTTGGAAGTAAAACCCTTGACCTTCTTAAAAATGGTAAGAGAGCACTCCTAATGGGGGTCAAAGAAAAACATGACGAGCCATGTTACGGATACTGATTGGAATACCGTTGAACTTACCCACTCTTAACCCGGAGGATGTTTTCGAGCCATGTCCCGCTCTTATTTACTGAGGTAGTAGAAAAGGAGGCATTAGTCTGACAGTCTCCCTTGTCGCAGTTGTTCTTCTTCTTCGTCGTTGTCGTCTTCTCCTTTTTTTCGTATTGTGACAGGGCCACTTTCATATTTCCTTTCCTTTCCTTTTGCAGACATTATTTCCCGTGTCCAACCCAAGAAGACTTCAGCTGTGGGTAGACTACTTCTTAAGATTCGACGAGACAGCTTGGTCCACACAGGATCCGGCCATCCAGGATGACGAGGGAGACGCGGAGGTAAGGGCGCACCTCGGGGTGGGGGAATGGGCGGTTGCGTTCTACTTGCTGGGCTAGTCAGAGGGAGCAAGCATCTATGGAGTTAAGAATCAGATAGTTCGGAAGAAATAAACTTTCCGCCCATTGAACAGTCGTATGCCTGACACTGTCGAAGACAAGAGCAGTCAGGCCACACTCAAGTGGAAATAAGGATTAAAAAAACAAGAGAGGTTGATCAGAATTTATCGTCTTTATTACGTTTGATGATTTCAGCCTGTGGTTACCAAGCCACTGGACTCAGTTATATGGGTCCCGGATGAGCGAGCGCGGGAATGTGCCGACTGTAAGCAGAGATTCACTCAGTTCAGAAGAAAGGTATTTAAGTTCGCTCACCAATTCTCTTAACTTATGCACCCGCTCTTCTTTAAAATCCTACGAATAGAACTTGAAAACTCAAACTTTCAGACTTCAGTGGCTGCTGTATTTGAAACAAATGCTGCAACTTTGAAGGAATCAAGTAGTAAACACGAAACCTCTTTAAAAAAGCTGTGAACCTAAACCAAGAATATGCATTAAACTTAAGGTTACAATGAATAACCCTTTAGGCCTCTGTCTCCTTTTACAATGTCTTCCTCGATTCCTCAATTCATCTGGGAGCGAATTGTTACTCCTTTAACATTTTTTGTGAGTAATGGCTGAATTATGATGGCTTTCATTACTAACTTGTGTTCTTGTTAAAAATTTATTTGTAATCATTTACATTTATTTTTCTTCTTCTTTCTCTTTGTGACACCCGCTGGACAGCATCATTGCAGGTGAGCAGTTCGTTACCCTCTGAGAGCCATCTCTTTATCCTTTCTCAAGGACTAAACAAACTTGTGTCCTAACGTAATGTGATAACTGAATTATAATTAACAATTAGTTGGCCGAGTCTCGAGTTCTATCAAGAGCTGGCTTGTCCCGAAGAGGCAGTCATCAGAGTAGTTGTATTCAAGCGTGCGCCATGTTTTTGGTAAAACGTTAATAGTACCCTACTGAAGAACGTATTTCCATTAACCTAACCAAAGAAATTACAAGGACCACTCGGAACAATTTTTAATATTGCGATGAGCTAATAAGAAGTGAAATGAAAGTAAAAACAGGCAGACTCTCTGAAGCGGCGGGAAACTCGAAGAAAAAAGTCGCAATTGGTTCAATTTGTTGTGAGGGTAACGCGATTTTTAGAGACCACACAAATCACAGATCGCATTGAAGCAAAGTCAGTGTAATCCTGGTTTTCCTTCGACGCTCAATTGAAAATTGCTGTTTTTGAGCAGTTTACCTTCAATGGACTTTAGACGTAGAATCCCTCCCATCGCCCGTTACCGTAATAAGGCTGAGAAACTTCAAGAAAGTTTTTACAGGGCTATCCAAAAAGTCATAATTATGCGTACTTTTTCTCTGTAGAGCATGTGGTCAAGTATTCTGCAGTGAATGTACAAAACAGAGAATTCGCCTACCTCAGTTTGGTTACATGAATCCTGAAAGAGTATGCGAGAACTGCTTTCATCAAAACAACATTAGACAAGTTGACGAAGAGGTTAGTTGGTATTTTGTCGTCGTTGTTGTTTTCGTTTTACCTTCTATGCATGAATATGAAGGATACCCTCACCGTGAATTGAGGTTTGATTAACGGCAACTTTCATGAGGCTTTCTTGACGTTCGTTTAGTTTTTCTTTGTATGTCTGTTTGTCTGTCCACGTGTATGACTGCTTGGTTTTTTTTTGTTTTTTTGTTTTTTGTTTTTTTTGACACACGAGATATGACGTCCTCTGACACGAAATTACTTTACCAGCTGTTTATCAAACGAAGCAATGGTTATTAAGGAAACACAACCTGAGCCGAAATCGTTAGAAATTGTGGTACTGTTGTCTTGTAGTAAATGTGAAATGTTAATGTCGATTTTAAATGCAAACTTTGTGGCTTTAAGAGACGTTGAAATTGCTTCGTGGAGCACGTTTATGACCGTTTAATGTCTTCAAGAATTCTTGAACCTTTTCTGTAAAGTTTCATTAAGTTAACTAGAAGGCCATTTAACAAACGTTTCAAGAAGTAACTCAATTTTGTTGATGTTCAAACGAAAAAGTAAGCGGCGCATATAGTTACAGCGGAGCGAAAAAAGCGGGAGGCTTGGGTTGGGTCGCGTAAAAGAGGGAGGTTTGGATCCTAATAGTTGAGTCATTCTGCGGGCTGTAATATGCATCGCCAACCGAAAGCATCGAATATTTTAAAAAAAGGACTCCTAAAAGGGAAACAAAACAACAGGTAGCGGCAAGAACTTGAATTGGTACTCAATGAAATGATCGCAAGTTTAAGAAACTAAAAATCATATTGTGATATTCTGTACAGGATGAGGATGAATTTGAGGTGATCACTCTTCCAAATTTCCCAAGGTGAAGTTTCCTGGTAAAGTACGAAGAAATTTGTTGAAACTTAGATCTGCGCAAAACTCTGAGATAGTTCATCTGATAAAGGACATGACCTACAAAATGGAGATAGCAGTCAACTTTCACGAAATAGAATTGTGATCGCAAAATGTCAGCTCATGGCCTGGATTTGCAAGGAGCCTTTCTATGGGGAACCTATTGCTAACAACATACACGAAGTATTTAACATGCCTAACAAGAAAATATTATTTAACATGGTATATTTCAACCATGTAAATTTAGAAGAAAGATTCCATGTTGCCGTGCGTCTGTATTGTATTGTATCTGTATTTTGCGATATTTAAACAGGCTGGCCCAGTTCAGCTCAGAGCTGGTTTAAACGGAGGCCTGTGTAAACAATGACAAGGCTAGACCACAACACAGGGAGCTATGTTCCCTACTCTTTGAGAGAAATGGGTAGCTTCTTAACGTCCCGTGCTAACCATCACAGAGAAAAGACAGGAGACCGGGGTCTATGACTTAGCGTCCTTATAGACTGGAATGTCTAACCATTTGCCGTTGTCAAAGCAAAGGCAGCACATTCTCCTCGATCATTTTATCAGCCTGAATGTTGGTCTGTTCTGCGGCTTGAACCCTCGACCTCCATCACGCCAGTCCGGCGCTAACTAAGCGAGGTGTCCAGTAATAGATTACAGGTTAAGTCAAAACGTGGTAAGAACAAAAGACTGGCGCGTGAGGCGCAGTGTCACTGATGTTCTTACCACATTTTGACGTCTTCTGTAATCGGTTACTTTACAGACGCACGGCAACATGGAGAATTTTGTTTAATTTGTTTAATATAATAAAGAAGCAGACAATTGTTTATGGTGACGTCATGTATGCGTCTGTCCTCCGAAAGATTATAAGAAAGAACCAATCAAATTGCTAATGTGATTAAGCTTATTGTAGAACTAGCTGTAGAAAATTCTGGGGCAGAGTAACTGCAGTTGCATGCTATGAGAATTTCATTTTTTATCGAATTTATCAAGAATACTTTTTACAAATAACTGAATATTTTATGAATATTTTAATGGACACCCTTTGATGAAGAAAAGGCTTATGTAAGCGAATTTCAGGAAATTTTGTATCCTGTAAAGGGGTTTTCTTTAGTATGGCCGGTAACCAGGTAACATTTCTTGTCAAAGTGATATTTTAAAAAAAGCATCACGAAATTTTGTAACCTGACATAAATAATTGGTAATTACATAATTTCTGTTTCCAAAATAGTCAAATCTCAATCTAGATACGCAATAATTATTTTGCTTTTTGTTCGGAAATAGAATAAGAAGTCACATTAATTTGGGATTATAACAAGAATGTAGAGTTATCAATTTATCATGAAACTGTATGATATTGTAATTTTAAAAGTTTTTTCATTTGTGATAAACTGTAAATTAAATCAAAGCAAGTTCAGGGGAACGAAAATCCGTTTGACGCATCTATAACTCCGCAACCGAGCTTCAAATTTCCAATGTGAATAGGGGACACCATTGCTGTACTGGGGAGGGGAGGGGATGGAACTGAGTGGAAGAGAACGGGGGAGGGGAGGGTACAAGGCTGACGGTAAACGTGAAATCAAATAGGGACTTACATCGCACCCTCTCTCTCCCCTCCCCTATAAGTATGTCGAAGGTGTACTGTATGGTGAGGGAGGAAGAAAGTTCGCAAAGTTCGAGTTCTGTGTTTGTGTAAAGTGAAAGTTTATGAAATTATTTTGTGACGAGCATGAGTTCAAATAAAACTGTCAAACTGATTGTTCAAATTTTAACTTTTTACTGACCCATTGCAGAAATACACACAATAAAAGTTTCGTTTTTCAAATGAAGCTTTCGACCCGACCCAAGCTGCAGTACACGAGAGAGGCTCGTTGTGACGAAAATACATACGTTGACTGTTCACTAAATCCTTTGTGTCTTTAGGTCAACACCGCTACTAGATGGAAATAATTCCATACAAAATATGCGATAGCAATACCATTAGGACTTTATCAGGACATGTATTATGCTTGAGAGCCGAGAACACGCGCTAGTATGGGTTTGTTGCGGAATAAGATAAGAATAATAATATTCCAGTCAATTTGGTGAAAAGCATGATGTTTACGCTTTGTCGTACTTCGCCTAGACGGATGATGGGAGTGAAATCTCCAGATTTTTTTCAGGTGCACGTTTTTGCCTCTATTAATGGACTGCTATTTTATGGTTTAAGATTCAGAAAAACGATCATAAACAGATCTATACGCTTCTTAAGTCTTTCTACAGGATAAAAGACACTGAATTAGATTTCAAACGCCTTTAAGATGACTTTATTTCTGTCAGTAAAATCGACTGTTCTTGGCCACTCTGCTCATTGCATGTTTCATTTTCCCTTGCTTTTCTTCGATCGGATAAACACTGTCAAGTGTTTAGAGTTGACGAGTCACGTACGTGCAAAGCAAGGGTTAGAAATTTTAGCCTTTTCGCGTGCGCACAGTTTGCTTGCTTTTTCGCATTGTATAAAAAAAGGGCAAAAGAAACTAAAAGAAGAAACAGGATGTCTAGAAAGAGCTCTTATCTTGTACATTTCCTCTTGGGGTGATCGGAAATGTATCGCATGAAATAGAATTACGCACGCACGATTTATTTTCTCGCATGAACAGTTTTTTAGTGAACAAGTGTCGACCGTATATATTGTGCAAGAAGGGTCCGTATTTTGTTTGGATTGACCGAGAAATGAGTCTGTAATAAGTCTTAGTATCTCACTCTTTGGAGAAAAGAGTGTAATTGTAACTGAACGTTTCAGGCCGTTTTGTTAATCAAGGTGTCTAAATCGCCCATCCTGGAACACACACCGTCTGAGAGGTCAGAGCTTGAACCAGACAACCATGCAGTAGTGTGGCGCGTTCCAGGTGAAAACGCAAATTGCTATTGACAAATATCTCCTCTGTATGGTTCCCTGTCTAGACAATGAATGATGCTGCTGTAATTACTTGACTATTTGTACACGTTCTCAGGAAAAAAAATTAAAAAATCCTCGAATCTTTCTTTAAAATGTCTTGTTGGAGTCATACAAGCATCATTTTTTTCTATGTTGTATTTTTTCAAAATTATTTCTCCAGCGAAGCACTTACACAACCTGAATTTTATGCAGAAAAATACATTCACAACATCGAACATTTCGAAACTGTTTTAATTATCTGTCCTTAAACAAACATGTGGTAGCGCAACCTGAAGTTGAAAAATTTTCACATCAGTTATCGGGTAGAGAGAGAGAGGCTTCCTCAAGTTGATCATCCGAAGGAAAGACGCGAGATGTAATAGTTTGCTTTAGCAAAGAACAAGAGAAACGATCTGGGACGGAGAAGGGGGGTGGGGTTTGAGTAATTTAGGTGTTGGGTAAGCAATGTCCAAAAGGGTTTTTTTTCAGGTTAGGGAACGCAAAACAAAGTGGATTTCATGAATTGTGGTTTACGAAACAGTGAGGAAAACCACTCTAATGCCTGGTCCATTGAACTACTTTTGGATGCAAAACGCAAGTTTGCGCCTCAAGGCTTTTGTCTATCGTACCCCCTATTAATGGAAATTCCTTTCTCTCCGCAACTCTCCGCTGTTTGAAAGTCCAAGATAGTGGCCACAATGGAGTGTTCATAAAACGCCCTCTAAAATGTAATTCAAAATTTGGATTATTGCAAAATAAATTCGAGAATTTGCAGTCTCTTCGGTTTTACCGAAAAAAACAAACACTGTAATGTTTAGATAAAAATATTTCAGCGCACGTACAAATTGGTAAAAGAAAAATAATACGCTGTCAGGTGCAACCGTAAATGCATTATTGACTTAGAATTTCAGATAATGCAGTTGTCCACACCTGTAGGAAAGGAAGAGGCACGTACTTTTGATACAACACGTGCTGGTTTTGTTGGATGTGAGCAGAATTGAAAACAAAGCGTGACGGGTGGCGGAACCGTAGCGTTTTAGAGCAACTTTACTATGTTTATTCCAAAATCTGAAACAAATGTGACCCAGAAACTTATTCCGCGCCTTTTAATACCACATACGTATGTGTATGTGTGGGTGTGTGTGAGGGAGGAGAGAGTGTAGAGATTTCAGTTAACTTTAGCTCAAGTTAGCTGATTATAATTTTGCAAAGTCACTTGCTGTAAAGGAGTCTCTGTGAACAAGATGATCTGTATAAGCAATCAATTAAAAGAAACATAGAGAATCACTATCGACGTCTTCGAAGTAAAAAAATTCTGACTGAGTCGTATGCAAACTTTTACAGATTCACGATAGCATGAAACTGCATTGGTGATAATTCCGGCAAAATGGAACTGTGCGCAGTGTTGACAATAGACTAAGAATAGTCTGATGAAACATAGAAGGGCTATCTTGATACTAGTTAGATTAGCTTTTCAAGACGAAATCTTAACAAGGGCGCCATAGGTCAAACTCTTTTTAATATATTCGTCGAAGGATATAGGATACTGTCCTTTCATTCATTAGTCACAATTCTGAGGTAACTCATTGTGGCATACTTGTTAAATTTGTAAAGCTCTTCCATATCACACAATTTTTAACTGATTTCTACCTGAGACTACCAGAAAACGTGCTATATTATTTAGCTTATATGAAAACACATGACTCGGAGAAACAGGTGCAGGGTTTAAGTAACGATATCCTAAAATGAATCTAATTTCTCGGAGGAAACTGTCAAACATTGATTATTTTCCGTGCGGGCAAAGTTCACTGGAGCAGCAATTGACAATTGAGTCAACTAGAAAGGCTTTCAACATTGCAGAAAAAAGAATATTTCTTGAGGCTTTTGAAAAGCAAGTTGTGTACAATGACAACACGATTTGTATATTTTGTTTGCTTGCTCCCTCTGTTCGTTGTGGAGAAACTCTCTGATTGGTTCCCGGATGTTAACACGACAACATCGTGAATGCATAATGGTTCTGTGTTAGCCAATCACGTCTGCTGTTTGCTTTGACTGAAAGTGTCTTTTAAAAGAAATCGGATAATTGCACTTCCGTGAAACTTCTACCCTTTAAAAGCTTCGCCGGCATAAAGTGAGCAGTTGTAAGCAAATCGCTATTGACGCGTAACTTTGTACATGGCAACATGGCGAAGCCGAGCCCTGAAAATTTGTCCTTTGTCATGGCCTTCATTCCGTCTCAACCGACCACAGAAGTTCTGATGGATCACACAAAAGAAAAAAAAGACAGCGGTTTCTCAGAAGGGATTCCTCATTCAGAAGGAGAGGTATCATTTTTTCGCATTTCTTTCTCCGTCATTGTCCTATGCACGATAATGGGAAGTTTCATGGTGTGTGCCGTGAACATCAAAAACAAAACTATGCTTAGAAGTCCTTATAACGTGAACATATTTCACTTGGCTATAACTGACTTGCTGGTTTCATTCGTCACTTTTTTGACACCAGGATTTATCTTCGAAGATATTCCTCCCGCGCCTGAGGGAAGAATAAGTGGAGAGATATTTTGTCGCCTTATTTCGTCGCATTTCTTAACGTTTTGGAGTGCTACTACCTCTATCTACATCACAGTCGCACTCGCCACAGAACGTTGGTACGCTGTCACTAAACCTCTACAATACCGCGCAAGATTCCATAGAAAACGTCTTCTCTACGAGATTATTACAATATGGGCGTTATCCTTACTTGCAAACTCTTTGCTGCCGTTCGAGGTTAAATACAGCCCAGAAAAAAGCTCAGCTTCGAAACGTTGCGAAATCGCCAAGATTCCTTTGGTTGCGCCAGCCATCCACAAATTCCTTGGGATCGCTCAATTCGGGTTCAAGTTTGTCATTCCGTTCGCGATAAACTGCAATTTGTATACACGCGTTTTGAACGCAACCGATAAGTCACGTGTACTGAGCCGCAGAATGGGTCAGGGAATGCGCAACAACATCAGTCGAATGGCAGCTGTTTCAACTCTGGTGATAGCTCTTTGCTGGTTACCAAATCAAATTTACTACTTGTGTTTCGCCTTCGACCTGGTTCGCCTCAATACTCCAGCGCATTTTGCTACTATTGTGATTGCATTAATCAATCCATTCTTAAATCCATTCATTTTTGCTTTTCATTCTGTGCAATACCGGCTTGGGTTTAAAAACTTATTTTGTGGAGAATCTTTTAGAAGAGGCAAAATAATACTCGAGAGCAGAGCGGGCCCACTTAAACGGGCTCAGGACTTAAAGATATCTTCGTCACCTTTTGTATCTCATACGTCTATCCACAAAAGCGTCTCGGTGGAGTAGTCTTTGAAGATCCCAAAATGTCAAATGGATTTTAAAAAATTCCACACGGGCGCGTGAAAAATAGGAATGACGGTAATGTTTCAGATTAACGTTGCGGAAAACTTGTTGTAAAAAATACCGAATCGATAGGATTGAACAGAAAGTGTGCTTGATTCTACAATTAGTTTTTATTAGTTACATCAAATCTCGGCCTAAATCAGTGAAACTGGAATTTGTACGAAAAATCAATTGTACTGTAGGACCTATAACAGAGGTTCGAAATCAAGAGATTACTCTGAGAAAACCAATGGTAAATGAACACCAGAAAACGAAAAAAGATGGTTTGGACTAAGTATTTAGATGTAAGATTAACAAGGGTATGATATTTTGATAAAAACCAGTTTATAGATGTAGGTGAACCTTGGTACTATCATTCTCATGTTAGAAAGTACAGGTAATCCCTAATAGTTTTCCGTAAAAAGTCAATCTCCTCAACACGCGTTCTACTGAAGAAACACGTGTCCATTGATGTCGGTGTAAACTATATCTTGAAATCATTAAGAGGATCGGAAGTTTTATGATAATTTTATTGATTGTTTACCTTCAAAGCTACTTTGAAGATGTTAATTAAGATATGCGACATTTAGAAGGGGAAATCTTGTATGCATTAAAATTAAAGAGCATTTTCTTTAATGCGTTTAGTTTCATATTTATTTTGTCGTTCTCGAATGTTTGAAGTACAGTGTCCATTAGAATTTTTTTTCTCTACCCCGAGTAATTTCCAATTTAAGTCAGTTGAGGTAGTGTTCCGTGTAAAAAAAATGAAAACAAGAATGCGAGAGGGGAAAATGCAGTTCGAGTTAAGTTTAAGCGCAAGAACCAAGTACCTCTACAGTCGATTCGTTTTACTCGGGAGCCACGCATTCAGAGCAAACACGTTCATAGAATCTGATCATGCCTCCTGGGATAAAATATCATGATACTGCAAGGCTCCTGCATGATATAAATATGTAAATTAAGCCAAGCGAAAACTAGGGCTGCACAATTTATTATCTTTTGGATTCACAAAAAAAAAATAAAAATAATAAAATTTTTTTCATGACGTTTACTGACAACATTCTTGAAGGCTATGGTAGAATACCTTACTTTCTCGCAGGTTAAGTTTATATTAATAGATCGATTAAAAAAGATACAGCTCGAGTAAAAATTGTCAAGATGCTTTGTATAATCTGATCGTTAATTTTATGTCGTGGACTATGTTGACACGTTTTCGTTTTTCAGACGTTTGTCCTTCTCATTTTCATGTGATATGTGGGACGGCTCGTGCTCGCACAGTGAGAATTTGAAGCGCTCGAAACAAACTTCAATCCATTAACTCATATCGTTCCAATTTCTTATCGTAAAAGCTAAAGTAAAATACACTGAGGGAAATAACTCAATTTATGACCAAAACAAGGAAAATTATGTTGTTAGTAATTCACTTTCTCACCCAATAAATCTAAGCTGATATTGATATCTCCGGATAGCCAACTTCCCCCCCCCCCCCCCCCCACCTCTTCTTCTTTTTGAGTATATTTTGCGCCCTTTACTGGAGTTCAGCGCAAAACTGGGGGGCCTGGTTCCAAGCTTATCCTTAATGGTCAGGTAAATATTACCATGAGCACTCTGAACTTTGATGGTCAGAGCTTAGGAAAAACTGCAGCCAGTTATCTTCAAACATGCTCGCGAACTAGCCTGGGAACGAGGAACTCACATCGTTGCGTGCTGTTTGGTTGAGCTGAGTAGGAATCATTGCCAATAAGCTTGTTGAAGTTTTACTGGACCGACCTGCGAAGTGCGCTGGAAGCGGACATAACGATGACACCTGAAGAAAACTGGCAGACAAAACTATCATCTATTGCGGAGAGAACAAAGTTTATTTTCAACAGCGAGTTGTTAAGCGATGTGAAGTTTGTCGTAGCATCGTCGACTGATGAAGGTGAAAGTAAAAAGGTGATCCCAGCTCACAAGTTTGTGCTCGCTCTGAGCAGTCCTGTGTTCTTTGCCATGTTCTATGGTCAAATGGCGGACACTAAAGACTCTATTGAACTGCCTGACTGTGAGTACGAGAGTCTGTTGGAGTTGTTTCGCTTCTTGTACAGCGACGAAGTAAATTTAAGCGGAAGTAATGTGATGCAAGTTTTGTACTTGGCGAACAAATACATGGTGCCCTCACTCGCTGAGAAATGTAAACGATATCTGCGAAAAAATTTGGCAGCATCGAACGTGCTTAGCATACTGCCTCACGCTCAGAAATTTGAAGATAAAGATTTGGAACAACCATGCTGGGAAGTGATTGAGGAACAAACAGAAGAAGTTGTGACGTCAGTTGAATTTGCTGCAGTTGACAGATCTCTTGTTCAATCTTTTGTGAAGAAGGATAGGCTGAATGTGTCGGAAGTGGAACTTTTCAAAGCTGTTGATCGGTGGGCCACTAAAGAATGTGAAAGGCAAGGATTGACCTCCGATGGAGAGACAAAAAGGCGAATTCTCGGAGAGGATGTTGTGAAAGCAATAAGGTTTCCGTTGATGTCAGACAGGGAGTTTTCATCTTTTGTCCTTGATTCAAACATTCTTACGTTTCAAGAAGTTGCGGTAATGATGAAACACTACACTTCCGTTTTACTTGACACAGCATCTTTTCCATTTTCGCAAGCACCAAGGGGTGAATTGAAAGATCCAAATCGATGTTACCGATTCTCCAAAATCCTACCAGCCGATACGATAACTGGTTGGTGGTCTTATGGCAGTGGTAAACCAGATAATATAAACTTCAGTGTAAACACTCCTATTACACTGTGCGGTGTTCAACATTTTGGCTGTGCAGGTGGTCAGTATACAGTATCGACTGAAGTTACAGATGCGACTTTCAATTTTCCTCTTGTTAAACGATCAGGAACATACACTTCGGAATGGGACGAGACTAAACAATTTTTCGGCTTCGATGTATTATTCGATCGTCCGGTTCGTCTGAAGGCAAAGAAACAGTACAAGTTGGTGTCGCTTATCAAGGGTCCTTTGTCATGGTATGGACAAGAAGGACTATCGTCCGTTGAATGTGGAGGAGTGCGTTTCACTTTTACGCGTGGAAATTCTGGCAATGGCACCACCGGGGTGGGAGGCCAGTTTCCAGCTTTTATCTTCAGCTGAAATTTATTCACAATACGGAATAGTTCGATACTAGATCTACATTTTCCTCCTTGTACATTTTTTCCTTGTGTAAAAGATTTCAATACAGATCACCAATTCAAGTTGTCAAAACTTGAAGAGCAGTATGTTTCTTGCCTTTTGTTTTTTGAGACCGGGATGACGGATCGTGTGTACTTTACACCTGTAAACTACCTCACAACATATTTTGCTTGGTTAAATAACTGCCTTTAATGGTTTTAAACACCTCTTTACAATAATAAGATGGCAAGTAAAAATATCAATTAGTTATTAATATTAGCCATCTGGGCCTGCCAAATGAGAAACATTAGATCTTAAACAAAAAAATATTGCTTACATACAATTGGCCACTGTCCAGAGAGATGAGCAATATATTTTTACACTATTGAAAATAAATGCAACATCTCTTGATGGGAATTAATGACACCATTGTTGGAGAGGGTGACTGGTTAGGAGTGTGGACAAAAATTGACAATGAAAACAACCGTGCTGTAGTCTATGTTGGGAACTCCCACACTAAGCTAGAACACTAGAACAAAGAAATCTGCTGGATTTTCAAACCAGTCATCTTTGCCAACAATGATGATATGATGACATAATATAAAACTATTTACAATGTAAATCTATGACTTTCAAGTAAAGAAGAGATGTTTTGTGAAAATCTTTTAGGAAACGATCTCCCAATTCAACATCTCAGATTTTAAGACAAAATGCCATCAGTTTTTTTCCCTATAATAATTTTCTCCCACAATAGTAAAAGTCAAAAACCACTCGTATAACTTTGACTGTCTCTAAAGATTCTCTGGCAGACAGCCCTTAAAATTGAAAACCCCCCAAAATTAATAATAATAATTTATTTCACAAAAATAATATCAAAACACCCAGAAACAATAAAATGCATATTATTCATTTTCACAACTATGTTGAAAGTGAAGATAATATTTAAAAAAAATAACTTTGATTGAAAATTATTTGTTCAATTCCTTTCTCTCAAAGTAATTCACTCTACAAAGCCACAATAGTGTTTTAACACCGGAATGATCAGTGTGTGTAATGCATTTCTTGTATCAAATTGTTAATCTACAACAAACCATCATATTAAATACTTCGATCAAAAACATCCCTTGCTGAAAACTGGTTTAAGAAAACATTTGATTAATAACAAAGTAAAAGACAACTTGATGGAGGCCTTGAGCACATCTTTTCAAGCTTTCTTTAGCAAATATAGTCTATATACAATTTTAATCTGGAAAAACCTAAGTGTTAATTAGAATGTGTACAAATCTACCAGCAACAAAATGAAGAAATTTAACTTTACACTACATACAAGACTCTGTTCCACAGATCGAAATTCATTTACTGATAATTAACTTAGGAAACTACATTTACACATTCACCAATGAAACAAACAGCAAAATCACATTTGCATTTAATTATTTTTCACATACAGCACCCTGGTCAAACCTATAGTATGCCATTTGACAAATGCCATACAAATGGACTAAGGCAGCAGCTACTACAAGCACATGAAAAATTTGATGACTCTGAAACTAAAGAGGAAAAAAAAGGGCATGTGAGAAAACTGGTAACAAGTGGTTCCTGCACTGAAATGGTTGTGTCAGGGCTAACTTGGGTACATTATCAAAATAAAGTTTGTGAGATTTTATAACCAAATATATATTTATTACATTTCAAAGCTACACCAGACACAGCAACCTAACAGTTCCACATGGTAACCACAACACCAGCATATCATTCTACTCCTGTCAGTAGAAGCACTGAAGAGTGCATGTGTATCTCTCACTTTTAATTGTTGGTTCTACAGTAAATTATCCTTTATCAGCATTGGTAGTGTTTTATTTCCTGACTAGATGAGGGGTACCCAGAGGGGAATTTCAGGACACATTTCCACCAATTTATTCAGGCCCTACACCATTTATTCTACAAGCTTAACAGCTTAAGAAGAAAGTCAAAGAGTTATTGTGTCTTTGACTCATGATCTTGTATGTGTAGCTAACCTGACTGAAACACTGGTTGAAAATCAATGCAGAGGTAAAATTGTACTTTAAATGCTTACCCAAATGTCGCACTTTCCCGGAAAAAACCTCTCTGGAACTCTAGTAGCATACATAATAGCACCAATTATGTATAGGGCGCCCATTAGTGCCATCCATCCAACAGATGCCTGACGATGAGCTAGAGTTACCCCATATGCTACTATGAAATGAATACCAGGGACAATACCAGAACATCCAAATGTAAGGAAAAGACCTGACAAAAATAAAGAACAATCTGAGATGAAGCAGTTGTCTAGTCAATTCTAGGCTAATCACATAACTTTTTTCTAGTTATTCTGATGATTTTTCTATACCCAGCTACATTACTTAATGGACAAGCCTGTTAAAGACACTTGACCTGTTTAGGAGTGCATCAGCGACAGTTTCATCTGCTAACATTTAGACTGATTGAGTTAAAGCCCGGCTAAAAATTATGTCATCATGGAGTTCAAGGCACTTCAAGGTTCAAAGCCTCCACTCCACCAATCAAGAGAATTTGTTTCTTGGGAGTTGCACCTTTAAAAATTATCACTGCATTTAAAAAAAAAGCATCCGGCACTTTGCCTTTAACAAAGGGATGTGAAAAATTTACTTCAAAATTATCTCTTGTTATCCCTTGCAGATTTGGTATTAAGAAAGACATAATGCCCACAAAAAAGTTAAATAATCACCTGCTCGGAGAACTCTGTATTTGGGTGTGCTGAACTTACTCCACAAAGACACAATCATGCAAAGAATTCCCAGAGTAAGGATCAGAGACATGTAGATGATCTTCAGAATTCTTGAGCAATAGAACCCATAATAAAGTGGAGGGATGAAAGAACCCATGATCAATAAAGCTATTCCTGAATAGTCAAGCCTAAAAAGCAATAATTAACAGTTAGTCATATGTATTTAAGCTAAATAAGTAGTAATACCCCTTGAGAATTTTAGCAAGATTTTTCATCTCTGCTTAAGGCAGACTTGAAAGAAACACTCTCTGCTATGCCCAAAGATTAGATGTAAAATTAAATCAAAATGATGCCTGGATTGGCTTAATTGGTCCAAGAATGAGAAATAATTCAACCAATACATTCTACTCCAACCTGTTAATTAAACACACTAATAGACACTTGCAAAGACCACCATGCTACTGATAGACAGAACAATACTTCCGGTAGGCCTTAATGAAAGGGGAAAAGAACCTGACAAAAAACAATTTCCTCAAAGCAATTATACATCCTAGAGCTCCTGTGTTTTACAGACATAATGTTAAATAAACAGGTCAGACCCATTCTGCTCTTATCCTTCATGAAAAAATGATCCTCAATAGTGTCATTATTAATTCCTTATTACAAAAAAATTATGGATTCATAGGCATATGTAGATGCAACTTGTAAACAAGATCTTTTTAAACCAGATTACCTGCTAAATATCTTGGAAACTGTGATGGAATGACAGTACACTGTATGGAAAATCCACGAGAACCCCAAACACAAGATTGCTCCTGTGAAGAATGCCCCAAACACTAGCTTCTCTTGCCAGTCTTTTGGGAATGGATTAGTGTTGGTGATGGGTCGAAGAAACATGTAGATTGTGATACAAATAAATGCAACAAAACCAATCAAATGAGTCCAAATATTTCCAGTTTCACTATGAACTTTAAAGATACTCTTAAAACAAGATCTGAATGATGGCATTGGTGGTCGATGATGATGTGATAGAAAGTCATTGTCACGCAGCCACTCTGGGAGTTCAATGTGTGCAAGAAGATACCACCCTGAGCGAGCCAACTCAATTGCTTTCTTTGAGATCCTCTCTGCCTTATCAGCAGCGTCATGCATGCTTTCCTGAACATTGTCCTTTGCAGTTTTCAGGATCTCTTGAACTCTTTCTGCAGCATCAGACATATTATCTTTTGTGGACTTTATCATCACATGCACTTTCTCAGCTGCTTCATGCATATTATCATGCATTTTCTCAGCTGCATCGTGCATGTTTCCTTTTATCCTGACTGCTGTATCCTGTACATTTCCCTTAACAGTCTGGAACATAACATGTAAATTTTCCTCTCCCTTGACAATGAATTCCTGAGAATATACATGGAAAATTCTGTGTTAGTAATGACAAATTCCTTTAGATTTCCTTAACAGGTAGAGTATAACTCATGAAAAACCTCCCTAAATAAAAAGACACCTAAAAAAATGTGCTGGGTAATTATGTAAACTTGAGTATAACTTAAAATTTATTTGCTGACTACAATTTCAATAAATCAACAAAGACAGGTAGGAATTGAAAACACTCTCTCATCTCCCAAACTCTTGTTTGAATTAGTAATAAAAAATATAGAATGGTAGCAAGACAAACCAGTTAAGATAGGTTTTGCCATAATGTGAGCAGAGTAAAACTGCCTTCAAAAAAAGAACTTTTTAGTAGTGATGATGGTAAATTAATTGAATCTTTGGATTTGCCCAAGCACAATTGCAGAACAGAACTGGGACAGTATCTTTTAAGGAGCTTCCCTTTGTCTTCCAGAAACACCAAATAATGGTATATACAAAGCTGACCAAGCTAGCATAGTTTGCATAGAGATGCTACCAGCTAATGATTAATTAATTAACTCTAATTTGCATTCCTTTTAGCTTCTCTTGAAAAATAGCAGGTATTGAAAATGCCAAAGATTATTGTATTTTAGGAAATAAAAAGCTCAAAAACTCTTCATACTTCAAGGAACAAAAATTCCTGTTTCTCAAGTATTAACTGCAAAGAGAAAAACAAAAATTGAAAAAATTTGTAGAAAGGTTGATCTTGAGATGTAGCATTTCAAAAACTCCTCACAAGATTTTCTTAAATGGATACCAAGGGGTCCTTGTAAATAATTGAAAGGATTGCCATGGGAGTTGAGTTACAAAAACTATATCATTTTTATTCTTGACAATAATATTTATAGGGTATACTTGAAGAAAAGCTGCCAATGAATTTAAAATTCTCAAGTATTGTGGTTCCTATTAAACTGGACATAACCTTAATAGTTCTTGCATTGTCTTGAGCTGAGGAAAAGTTTGTGCAACCCCAACAGTTCTCTTTTGTTTCATCTGCAATCAATTAAGTTCTGAGGCAGAATCATTCCATAGCTGAAATATTCTATAATACTTTCCTAGCCTTAATTTTGGACCTCTCCCTACTGCTATCAGCTGGAAAAAATGTCTGAAATGCTACAGTATCTCCACCTACCAAGCTGTTATGTTTTAATTAAATTCAGATTCTCCAGAGAGCTGAGTAAACTTGTCTAATCCAGCCAATAAGGGCTTTAAATTTCTCCTATACCATCCCATGTAGATATACCATTTCCTTCTCTAGGACAAAGTTGTCCTTCCATTGTTATTTTCAGCTATTAAAAGTGGTGGTTAGGCTGTTGATAAACTTATTTTTATCATTTGACCTGAGCTAGGAGCATCAAACTTGACAATTGAAAGGGAAATTGATTGAGAGATTTTAATAACCAACTTTCATTTCTAGAAGAGCTAGGGGGAAAGGAGTTAATTAAAAATTAGGTTGATCAGTCATATTTCTGAAAATTTGATAGAAGGTAACATTTTCATATGAAAGTTATTAAATAGACACTTATCTTCAAGAGTCTGATATATGTAATTTCTTTTGAATAAGCAAATATAATATTGGAGTGTTTTGGGTGGCCTTGTGCTGTGTAAAATCTTTTAATTCATGCTGCCCTCAAAGAATAAAACAGCTTCCATTGGGATGACCATGGAGAGTCTACAGGTCGTTATATTTTCTCTTAAAAAGGGTTAATATCATCTAGAAGGAAATTCCGCATATTTGAAGGTTGATACATTTAGACTGTAGAGTGAAATTATTTACAGTTAGCCTTCTTCGGTAAAATTAAGTCATTTGAAAGTAAGTTCTGCTGACGAATTACTTTAGTCTTGATACACTAAAGCACAACAACAGCGCACATACACCACAGGTAGCTTTGCCGGAAAATAATATTAAAACTTCTCATACTATTGCAAGTCGTCCCCAACAACTCCTTGATCTTTTAAAAAGTTGGAAAGAAGGGAAAAAGACGCTACCACTGTGAAATTTTCAACAAATCTTCAGGTTATCAGAGATTTTAGCATGTAGTTGAATACTTTCAGTATACTTTGGACCGGTGAAAATATAAATTTTTCATGAAAAGGAGCTCCAATACGCCTCGTGGTTCTTTCCAAGCACTTTCAATTTAGAATTTCGTTGGCCATTTTTCGGTCCGAAAAAAAAAAAAGAAGGAAAAAAATTTCTCATATTGATATATGTTCTGTCGAATAAAATATTGATTTAAAATTTCGCGAAAGTTCGCGTTATTTTAAAGACATCTGTTCATCTACTGTATTTCTTTTGTGTTACGTAAATTGACTTCAGAGTGGATAAAACACGTGCCGCGACACTAATCCTTTGAGAATGTTCCGTAAGCAGAGTAAATCAATGCTACATTTTTAGAGGAACAAATAGAAAGGAATTTACCTTTGCTTGCTCAAGACCAAGGAGGGAACATGTGACAGTTTCGTCTTCAATGTTGTCGTCGTCATCTTGTTCTTCATCATCCACCTTATCAACTTCCGCGCTATCGTCGTCGTCGCATACTTCCTTGCGTTTTTCAATCAAGGTTGCTCTCTCTTGGTCCTCTTCACCGAGAGCATCAGTTTCTTCGCTGCTTACATTCTCTTCTTCATTTTCGGTGTCCTTACCTTCAACTGTTACGTCGACACTAGGTAATTCTAGTGACGTTTTGTCTTCCGTTTGGGGTTCTAATGTCAGCAAACTATCTTCTTCCCCGAGTCCTTCGGTTTCCTCTACCAGCTCATGAGTAGTTTCCGTGATTTCGCTCATTTTACCACTGTTTTCGTCGTGCTTCTTATCTACAAATTCTACTTCACTCATTTTTGGTCGCCTCCGTCGTAGCTCTGCCATCTGTATCACTCCACAAAAGATCAAGAACAGCGGTTGAGTGTTTATATACGTAGTAGATCACGTTATAAAATTAATGACAGGAGAGGCTTGGCGCTCTATTGAATGCAAATTAGGGTTAAATTCCCGCGCAGTTCAAAGAGTATCTTCACGATAAGAATAACAAGCTTCGGTTACTCCCAAAATCCTGCCTTTTTCCCTTGTGTTACGTAAAGTCTCGAGATAGTTTTCTCGCGACCTTCGTTGGCCACTCGCACTGATTCAAGATCGAACTCTTCCGTAATTTTATATTTCTCAGTGGCCTGATCTTTATCGACCAATCACATAACGTCTTATGAATAGGGAGACTTGACGCCCTCTGATCCGTTCGTCGCTTATCCAATCAGAGTTCTTGATGGAATTCGTGTGAGGCAGCTATTTGAAGGTGCAAAGTCTGAGCTTTGACTGACAAGTAAACAAAACAAGTCTTACGAGTCAACAGACCACTCGACTCCATGAATGATCACCAAATCAATGTTTCACATAAACTGTTACACCTAATTTTCATCCACAAGAGCAATTCATGAAATAAGAAAAAAAAAACCAACAAAATTCACTTGGAAGAATGATACTGGCTAAGTGAAATTATTTGTGACCAATGATGGTCATGATACGTTAATGTAAACGTTTTGATTAGACTATAAAACAAAGATGGTGAATTGTGGGGTCTAAAATGTAATCTAAAAAAACCTGAACATCAAAACTGTAAAACTCAGAACAAAGTGAAGACTTTAATTTGAGTCTGACATGTCAAAGTTTTAAAATTTGAACAGTATGCAAAAAAAGAAAAACAGCAACAACAACAACAAAAATTATGTCTTGTTTGTACCTTACATAAGTTGGCTCACCATGAAGTAGCCTTGTGAATACAGAGATCTTGCAAATATCTCTTGCTTCTGGTAAATTACAAAATAACTACATTTGGGGGTCAACTCACCAGTCTAAATATTTTAATACATATCTCTGTACCTTCCTTAGAAAATTATATGAATATGGATACACAAATGAGCTTAAGAAGTTCTGGAAACACTGCCTTACTGGGTTGCACATGTCATGCGGGCAATATAGAAAAGTAACTCATGGAATATTCCCCTTTGCCTCGGCTGCAAGCACCCATTGTTGAATTGATAACAGGATGATTACATAAAGATCTTCCTTTACTGATTGAATGGTTTTTGTTCTAATCATTGTACGCGATATTTTCATCAGAATTCAATATTTGGTCTCGTATAATTATGTTATTCATCGTGTTACCCATCTAGGTCAATCATTTGCCTACTTATTACGGTCGCGTGACATTTACGTGCTGTTGGCTTTGTTGAAATATCTCTACAAAGTGATAGCGTCAATAATGCAAAACCCTCTTGGCATCTGAGAAGACATATCCTTTGATATCATAGCCTCAAATAGTTTCTCTGTCTTTACCCAACCAACTGGATGGCTCGGCCACACATCCATCAACAAAAACCTGTCTTCCTCAAAGTGATAACCACCTAACGGGCTGAAATGCCCCATATTCACTTTTGCGAAGAACGTCAGAAAATGGTAATTCACAACAACATGTGTTCCTGGTTTTTTGAGGTTTTCAACGACTAAAGATCGAAATTCGTCCACCGAATAAATCCCCGGACATTGTGACATCGTTGACTGTTGGTTGCAGGTTAAATCGTAGGCGTAGTAAAATCTACCACGAAGACCAATGCTGCTGATGAGTTTTGCGAACGTATCGAGAGTAATTCCATCTTTTAAAACATCGTCTCTCCTAATAATTGATCTGTCTACTCCAATCGCAAAAAGATCATCTTCTCCTAAAGTTTCTTTGTTGTTCTTTAGTTGGGCAACGTCAGAAATGTCACGATGAGGACCTGAGGGTTGGCGCTTTTCAAGAATTTCATTTAGACAAATTGCCGCACTACAAAATCCACAGTACTTGAAATTTACTTGATTACAGAAATAAGGAAGCAGATGGTTAAAATAACTTTCTTGCAGTATTTGTTGCCCCTTGTCACTCTCTAAAGGAATAATAAAAGGCGAAGACTTTGTGACCGCCATGATTTAAAAGCTTTCCACAAACTGTTTACACATTAGGGGGGCTAGGGAGGAGTTGATGAATAACTCATCGGGGTGAGGGTCAAGAATGATGTAACATTGTTCATTTCTTTCTCAAGGGTTCATGTAAAAAAAACTTAAGGAGAACAAAACATTTTTTTAAAAATTTAGATTGAAATCTTATGGTAATTTTCTATCGTAGGGTTTTGCCATAAAAGATACCGTTAACTGCACTATTCACCCTACCCTACTTAGGTTCGGGTGCGTAGCAACTAAGACATCTAAATGAGGACATTAAAAGAGATTTGGAAAATATTCAGAACATCTTGCGCCGCAGTTATGTTTTGTTTTTCATAACTAAGTGGAATGTTCTTTATCTACTGGATGCGTTAAATGCCCTAAAACCTTCTTCAAGAAGGTAGGGCAAATAATGTTTTTCACTTCTCACCATGAAATCCTCGAAGTCTGTTAAATCTAATGGAACAAATACTCATGGAATCCATGGAGACACGATCACAGCGACGAATTTGGTAAGGTCTAACCCTATTTGTGAACAGAGAAATAACAGCGCTTGAAAATGTCATTACGTGACCTCTTTAGTTACCCGTATTCTTGTAAATGGTTAAGGCGATGATTTGATCGTAAGTCTTAGAAGGCGCCTCTAATGCTCACTTTCTAAATTAATGAAGCTTGCAACTGATGTAATTAAAACACTGCTTTGATCCCGCCAGGATTAAAACCGCATCATTATTGATGCTTGGAACTCCTTCGTTTTGATGTGCGACAAGCTGCTTTTCATCCCAGAAAATCTGTGAATGTTTTGGCGATGAAGAGGTTATAATGATGCTATTTAATGAGCAAACTAATGACTAACTGAGGAACTACATAATCATTTCATTTAAATCACACGATAGTTTTAATTGTTGTAGAAAATGCTTTGCAAAAGTATATCAAGGAAAGCTTGCACAAACAAGAGATTTCTTACGTATCATGCAAAACAGGATTTGTACAATGTTAAAAATATTAACCTTACCTGGTATATATATATAAATGTTTGAGTGGATTCGATTTAACTCAGTGACCTGGGTTAGGGCTCCAAGGAATTAATTCGAAGACCTCATTTGTTATCCATTCTTTACCAACCAACAACTAGAAACGTATTAACACCAAAAACATCTGTTTGGATTCCAAATCAGAAACAAGCCAAGGAATGGTAGATTATGAACCTTGCACTTACCCATAACGAATTGTGATCTACACCCTGATACCATGTTAGCCTCAGAAAAATTTTGATCCAATCTTGAAATCTTGCAAGTCTTTGAGATTACGCTACAAGGAGCTGCAGTTTTGTTTGTTTTCTTATTAGATTGTAAGGTCTTGACCTTTTTCTGAGAATCGCATTTTGCACTTTATTCTCTACTTTTCTATCAATGGTATTTTTTGGTCTTTAAGGAATTGCAGTTTGATCTCCTTATGCCAAACATTTTTTCCACTCCCAACTTCCATGCCTGGGAGATATGTAACTCTTGCAGCTCAGACCTATCTTTGATTTAGGATTCCTTTTCCTTTGTTTTAAAAAATGTTAATACTTGATAATAATTTTGAAAGGGAAGATAATAACATTTAAAATGATAAAACTGATCCTCCACTTATACATCATCTGTCTTGATATTAAGAGGAGTTTCAATATTGATAAAAGCTGGTTAATGGTGGTTTACAGCTGCCTATAAGACTTACTGCTGTCAGGTAAGCTTGCAAGCAGTCTCTCTTGTTTAGGTTTCTCCTTATGGCTCCTTTTCTGTATGCCCAGCTGCTTTAATTACACCATTGGCAACCGCTTATGGCAAAAGTTATTGAAAGCTCTGTGTAATGAGAGACTGAAGTCTCCTCTAGTGAGTTTTTTGGCCTCATTATTCATAATGGTGTCAATTATTTTAGATATTTGATATTTGTTTTAAAAATTATGCTGAAATATAATCATCATTTGGTGTTGTTTTCTAGGTTGATAAGCCAGATATTTTACCTATTAAAAAGCAGGCAGCAAAGAAGGCCATATATCGCCGAGCAATTACACCATTACCTCCTAAAACTACCTCAACTGCTAAACCAACTTCAAGACCACAAACTTCCCTAGGGCTTTATAATGAGAAGGATGGTAGCTTTGATGTTTTGTCAACTGAGTCCAGACCAAGCTCCGCATTTGGATTCAACAGCAATAATGACAGAACAGGAAGTGGACACAAAATTTCCAGGTACTTAACAGTTGATATACAATTCAAACTATTGTTCTAGAGGATGCAGTGGAATCTCATTATCTTGATTATTTTATTGTAAATCTGATATTATGAAAAATTTGTGATCATCTGCAGTCTGTAGATAATTAACACTCAATGATTTTCCTAATTATTAATCAACCACCTTGTCTCAGACTCTCCCCAAAACCTTAAAGTCAGTGAAATAGGACAGCTTGATCTGAGAATTAAAAAAGATATCACTTATTAAACATGCTTGTAACATCCTTGAAAAGAAACTCTGGCTATTTGCTTTATGGAGATAAATTTCCAAAAAAATCTAAATTTAATTTAGTTCAGAAGATTTTGTTTCTCTTTGGGAGACTGTGGGGTTGGTTCTTTAAAACTATCCAGGAGACTCTCACATTAACTGGGATTAGAATAATGTTTGAACAAAAAGTGGTATTATAGTGAGAATTGTATGCTATATTTTTGATATACACACAGATTGAAAAGTCCTCAAAAAGGTAAAAGTGGGGTCAAGAGCTCACAAAAATCTAAGAAAGTTCCACCAAAAGCCAGAGTGGTCTGGAAGGATCATGCTGAACAGCAAGGACAAGCAACAAACACTGATGCAAAATCGTCAAATGCTGATCAACCAAAATTAAATGGCAGTGGGAGTAAGTTTACTAACCTAATGAATCAAGACAATTTTTTACCTTAATTGGCAGTAATGTTGTAATCTGATTGGCCAATTTGCCATTGTTGATAAGGGTACAGACAATGCTGCTTGCATCAATGTGTCAGGCACTGATCACTGAAAGAATCCTTTTATTTGAGATTGATATTGTGATAAAAATCAAACTGACAGTGGTTTAGTGTGGTCTATACCAATATCCACAGTGATATTTGTCATCATAGAGGCAAAAATTTGTTGCAGACTCTCTCACTTGCATCTCATAATCCACAACATTTTGACCACTGTAATGACAAATATCATTGACAATAAGAGTACAGATGGTGAGACTGTCCTCAAGCCAATGTTGATTTGTTAAATTGCCATTTTTTCAAGGTGGCCTGCAATCTGTTAGCCCTTTTGAAATTATAGTTATGTAAATTTCTGGTTCATTATTTACTACATTATTTACGTGTTAGAATAAAGGCATACTCATGGCTTTGTTAGTGCAAGTAGTCTCATCTGGCACGGTAAATTAGTCGGCATACATGAGCATGCCTGAGTTCAAAGGTTTTGATCAGCATGCCTGAAAGTTTCCATTTAAATTATAAACTGAAAATGAATAAAGGGGGTAAGTTTCTAAAGAAAATGTGGCACTGCATATTTGGGGGATATTACAAAATAAGAGCCAATGCTTTAAACATCAGCTTTAATCAAAAACTCTTTACGATTGGTAATTTTGCATTAACAACCCAGATAATTGAATTATCATAAATTATAAACTACATTTTCTCTGTCATAATTATCTAAATTATTAGGCAATTCTTTAACTCCTCAAACATGGGCAAGGAGCTCATTAGACAGAGAGAGAGTTCTTCCTCGTCGACGCACAGGATTCAATGCAGGTGCCCTTATTCCTGGATCTGTCTCCACCATGGTGTCCCTCCCAGAAACTGATGAAAATCAAAACACAGCTTCACTAGCCTCCCCTTCATTTCAAGATATCTTGGACCATGATGCAAGTTCTGAATATGATACTGATCTGGAGGAAGACTTTCCAGGTAACTATTAATAATGCCAGTAGTGCTTAAACTACAGTTTTAGTCACTTGCTGATATAAAATTGTTACAGTGCAGTTTAATTTTTGTGTCATTGAACAACTGTTTTATTTTCAGTGCCACGAAAAGCTTATGATCCTACTGGAAAAAATTTATACCACAAGTTATGCAAAGAGGGAGGTGAGATAACAACTTGTTCATATCGCATTTTGTTGATTAGAAAAAATTGTAACAAAGTTTATGTTTATGATTTTGTTTGTAAAGGTGATTTTATTGAATAATTCAATGTAGCCTTTTATCATCAGATGTTACATTAAATGTCAAAGATTATAGAATGTTAACCATTATCAGTGAAAGTAGCTCAACTCTAAATTCATTTAAGTCAGAAACACAAAAAGGTGTGAGTGCTAGATCACTATTTTCATCCTTTTATAGATATTATAATTGGCCTTAAAATTTATATTTGGGAGTCTTCCTTTCCTAGATTATTCATCTAGTTGGTTGATGGCTCATTTAGATAATTTTTAATGCAGTAAAAATTTAAAATAGTTGTAATTTTCTTCAACAGATCTTGTTCCAGTTTCATTCCTGTCTGACCGCCTCAACTGTCAGGAAGTGATCATGAAACATCATGGGCTTGGATCACAGGGAACATTTCCTATTGCTAGAGCTCTTATTGTATGTTCATTAACCCTGTACTCCCTAACATCAGCATGCAATTTCCCCATACTGTTCTCTATACATTTCCTATGTCACTTATAAAGAGAATTTGTCTAATAATTAAGAGTGTCTTGGGTTCATGATCATTTCCTTTATTCTTGTGACTTCAATGTTTGATTCAGGGGTGGTAATCTTGGGAGAAATTAGAAGCTTGCCACTCTTAAGGGCTTAAGGGTTAACTTAAGGGTTTATATGTGTTATTGAAAACCTGGGAAGCCAGGGAATACTGTAATATAATTTCCAACCTTTCAAAGTCATGAAATTTGATATAAGGTCATTCAGTGTCATGGAAAATGACTGAATGTGTTATTTTTGAAAAAT